GTTTTCAACTGCGTTTCGAACAGCCTATTTACCAACTGATTCAGCTAAATGACGGCGGTAGCAAATACGCGCTTTGTGATGGAGTCAAAAACAGGTATTTCTAAATATGTCTTCGAAATTATAAAAAGTCAAGATGATTCCTTATAACGATTCTATATAGTTGGTGCAAGTCAAAAATGATCAACGTCTAATGTTTAACACTATATCAGAATATTTTGTTTGATATTTTTCCTATAATTTGATTCAATGACCTGGCTCAGTTTTGCATCTAATTCTGTCCTTTTTAACATCTATGCAAAAATAGCAAGCAAGTAAAACCCACATAACGATGTGAAAAATTGAGTCTAAGATAAAATATGTAATTTTTCCGACTTCCCTAACAAATTTACGAAATAGTTGTGCTCGGGATTTCTTTTCTTTTCTTCAGACGGTTGTCATTTTTTAACTAGCCATTTTTGACGGAATTTGGAACGAATTAACGCACTGTCTATGTCGCGCTACTAAAGTATAAACGATGATTAAATCCGTCTTAGAAAACGTTTCAATTTAGTTGAAGGAAGCCTAATTGCCAAAACTGTTTTGTTAGTAGGAGCAAAATCTATCTTTTTGAGTTTTTTATGGCGCGTGGGATGATGATTCTCACAAAAAAATCTCAGTTTTTAAATATTTTTTTTCCATTTTAGTTCAATACCAATAAAGTTTCGGTTTTATTACTATTCCATAAACCATAGAAGGCATTCGAAACATTCGACGCTTTGCCTTGATAACCGCAACCTTGAACTTAAAAAGACATCGAAAGTCAAGCCTCGGAAAACCAAACTCAAAGAATTAGTCTCTTCTCTCCGATCATTGGCACGTTAAACCTACTCTAAAAATTGAGTTCTGTTATTTTTGGTGAGAAAAAAAACAAAGTCGGAATTATTCCATAACAATGATCAGAGTAATCAGCTTCTTTAACAGACATGCTGCTTAGAGGGATTCCAGATAAATATTTGAAACTCTTCGAGCAAGTAGCCCTGAAAACTTAAAGCTGAAATTCTATTCTGTTTTCAAAATCAAATTAAAGAGAAAAGTATTCCGATTTTTCTTCGACTTCGATCGACTAATTGACAAAAAAGTTTCGCAGTAATAAATATGGTCAAAACAAACGACTTTCGATTAAACAGTAGGTGGTAAATTTAGATATTTGTTGACGAAAAAGTAAGTGGTAAGGAAGTCTTTTGGATGTGATTTGTAGGTTTTTTAGACATATTTACAGTGATGCCTGTTTTCAACTGCATTTAGAACAGCTTGTAACCAAACGATTCAGCTAAATCAACGCGGTAGCAAAAACGCGCGTTGCGATGGAGTCCAAAACAGGTATATCTAATTTTGTTTTCGAAAAAATAAAAAAATCAAGATGATTCCATTTAATCATTCCGTATAAATTTCGCTAGACAAAAAAAAATTAATTGACTAATATTTAATACCATATCAGAACGTTTTCGTTTTTTTTTTTCAAAGATTTTTACTATAGTTTGATTCAGTGACCTGGTTCAATTTTGCATCTAATTCTGTCCTCTTTAACATCTGAGCTAAAATAGCAAGCAAGTAAAACCCACATAACGATGTGAAAAATTGGGTCCAAGGTAAAATATGTAATTTTTTCCGACTTCCCTAACAAATTTACGAAGTAGTTGTGCTCGGGATTTTTTTTCTTCAGACGGTTGTCATTTTTTAACTAGCCATTTTTGACGGAATTTGGCATGCTGCTTAGAGGGACTCCAGATAAATATTTAAAACTCTTCGAGCAAGTAGCCCGGAAAACTTTAAGCTGAAATTCGATTCTTTTTTCAAAACCAAATTAAAGAGAAAACTATTCCATTTTTTCTTTGACTTCGATGAACTAAGTGACAAAAAAAGCTTCGCAGTGATAAGAATGTTAGAATCAAACGGCGTTTGATTAATCAGTAAGTGTTCAATTTATATATTTTTTGCGAAAAAATATATGGTATTGAAGCTTTCTAGATGTGATATGTAGATTTCAGAGACATATTTATAGTGAAGCCTGTTTTCAACTGCGTTTGGAACAGCTTATTTACCAACTGATTCAGCTAAATGTCGGCGGTAGCAAAAACGCGCTTTGTGATGGAATCTAAAGCAGGCATATCTAAATATGTCTTCGAAATTATAAAAATTCAAGATGATTCCATATAATGATTCCATATAGTTGGCGCTAGTCAAAAATAATCAAGGTCTAATGTATAATACCATATCATAAAGTTTTTTTTTCGATATATATATTTTTATTTTGATTCAATGACCTGGCTAAGTTTTGCATTAATTATGTCCTTTTTAACATCTGTGCTAAAATAGCAAGAAAGTAAAACCCAAATCAAGATGTGAAAATTGTGCATTAAGTAAACTATGTGTTGTTTTTCCGACTTCCGTGTCGAACATACAAAGTATTCGTGCTCGGGATGGTTTTCCTTTCTTTAGACATTTTAATTTTTTAAAAAGCTATTTTTGACGGAATTCGGAACAAATTAACGCGCGATATATGTCGCGCTACTAACACGTAACCGGAGAATTAATTCGTCTTATAAAACATTTTAATTTGATTGAAGGAATTTTATTTGCCATAATTGATTCGTTACTGGGAGCGAAATCTATCATTGTATATTTTATGGCGCGTGGGGTGATGATTTTCCCAAATAAAAATCTCAATCTTTAAAAACTTTTTTTTTCCTTTTTATTTTTTTACCATTAAATTTTTGATCTTATTAACGCTCCATAGACCTTAAGGGGCAGTCGGAACATTCAACGCTTCGCCCTGATACGCGCAATCTTGAACTTAAAAAAACATCAAAAGTCAAGCCGCGAAAAATCAAATTCAAAGAACTAGTCCTTCTCTCCAATCATTGACACGTTAAACCTACTCTAAACATGAAATTATGTTATTTTTTGATAAGTCGAACAACCAAGTCTGTTTTATTTAATAACAGTCATCAGAGTAATCATCTTCTTTAACAAAATTGCTGCTTAGAGGGACTCCCGGTGAATTTTTAAAACTCTTCGAGCAAGAAGCAAGGAAAAATTTGAGCTGAGATTTGTATCTGTTTTCAAAACCAATTAAAGAGAGAAGTAATCCGACATTTATTTGACTTCGATGGACAAAGTGACGCAAACGCTTCGCACTGATAAATATGGTAGAATCAAACAATATTTGATTAAACACTTCATATTTTCAATTTTCACTTGTTATTTGATTTATGTTGGCGAAAAATTGTGTGGTGTGGAAGTTTTTTAGATTTAATATTTAGATTTAAGAGATTGCGGCTCAGACGGACTCCAGGTGAATATTTGCACAGAGGCAAAGTTGCTCTTTGCATACACAAGCTAAAATTTGATCGATAACGCTACTGGAAAAACTGAATGGGTAAAACTTTGAGTCTACAAATTTTCATACGTGACGCACGCCAATTGCGATTCTACTTAATTGCTAAGTGACACCAGCCAAATATGACGCATTAGCAGAATCAGTCAATTTGCAAAAAAAAAACAGAAATTTACCAATTAACATGCCTCAATTTATAGAGCGGACGCATTTACGCTAGTATAGGAAACCAGGTTCGAACCCTCTTATTTTGTTAGGCGTCTCGCTCCCTACCTCTACGCTACAGATCCATGATACCTTGAAGCTAAAGTGCGATTTGTAAAATAATAGTCTGCGATTTGTAATAAGTCCTTAGCATCGGCTGCACTTAATAGCTGGTTATTGATCAAAATGAAAACTTCCAAAATGAACACTTAGGTCGGAAAAAAGAGAGTTCATACTATAACACAAGCTTGCCTTGTGTAAATGCTCTTCGAGGAAGTAGCCCGGAAATCTTTAAGCTACACCATGATTCTCTTTTCAAAACCAAATTAAAGAGAGAAGTACACTAGCTGACGCTTTTCGCTAGTCGTGGAAAATTTGCATTCAAATTGGCCTCATTGAACTGTTGTCTAACACTGCACTATCAATATCAAATAAACTTGCTTGAGCTTGCGATAGATTGAAATTCTGAACCAGAAATATTGAATTGATGCCTGTAAAAAATACAAAACATGCAAAATTAAAATTCATCAATGTAAAATTTTAATCAAAAGTTAGGGGTATTTTTACTTATTTTGCCCAAAATAGCGCATTCGAATTTATATGAGCAAATTTTGAAGTAATTTAATCTGATTGGTCGAAATGACATTCAATTTTGTTTCGGATGCTCCTTTTTGGGCGGCAGAAGTGAAAACACCTAGAAATAGCAGCAAAAAATGCGCTGAAGGTTGATTGAAATGTTTTCTTTCTATTTCTCATTTTTTTTTCACTTGATTCTATTCTTTTCCGAAAGACACTTGGTAGGCAGGTTGAATTCGATTTAAAAACAGTGCTAGAGACTCATCTGTAAAAGTTTAAAAAGTAGTGTATTAGAACTAGATTATAATTTGGATCATAGAAGCGATACAACCGGAAGTTTACCATACTTAGCCAGCCGCAAAGCAGTGTAGCGCGAAAGATGAGCTCCAAAAAATCGTCCCGCTGAAGATGATTCTCGTATCCAGTAGAACGCTATTGGTCGCTTCCACGGAGAATCGGATCGTGTTTGACGAATTGGTTGCATTGATTTGAAACCTTACTTAACTTACTATATTCACCGTAAATATAGATTAAACAAGATTAATAACATTAAATCAATAAGCAAAAATAATAGACAAAATATAGAAAACAGAGATAGAGCCAGGAAAAACGGAGGAAAACAATCACAAACAATAGAAAAATAAAAACACGCAATAAATACATAAAAACACACAACATATTTGTAAAAAACTCCTGTGGATAACTCCAACAAAATCCTAAAATTACACAATGGGTTAAAAGCGAAATTTATGTAGGCCACTTCAAAACTTTCAAAGAAGACATCATTATAGATGATGTTTAAAACTGAACTTTTTTGAAACTAAAAATTAAGTTTTTTGTTTAAAAAAAAACATTAAATATTTAGTGGTCAGCTAGTGCACACGTACAGTTGAACTCGTCGCGGTAGTTTCCGGCGGGTCCGCAGTCGTTGTACCCGTCACATGTCTTCGCATAGGTGATGCAGGCCGAGGCAGCAGTGCCCCCACAAGCAAACATCTTCGCATTGCTTCCTGCACAAAAGACATGATGAGACAAGTTACCACGCCATTCCTCCCAAAAACAACAGTTTAGGGGACGGAGGTTAACCTGATTGCAAATCAAAGTTTTGGGCCCACCGGAATCAAATAGCTTACCCGCAGCAATAAGCAGTTACAAGGTCAAGGTATGTTGAAACAATAAATGCACGGATATTCAGAAGGGTGCTTAGCAGAGCGAGTTAAATTTTCAAATCCTTCTATTGCTTTAATAAACGACTACTTATTCTGAAGGTTGAGAAACTAACATTCCGTGCTGTTCAGCTTTTTTCTGAGAACCACTTCTGTACCTTAACTAAGACGTGCAGTTTTCTGGATTACTATTTCGCACTTGGAAATGTTGCCTTTGTGCTTGACGCAACCAATAGGACTTTATAGGTACTCTAAGTAATTGCATCGCGTGAGCGTTTACCGGCGGTGGGGTCGGATGTGCATGTTCCGTCGCAGTTCCACTCGTCCGAGTAGTCGCCACAGTCGTTCAAGCCGTCACATATTTCTGCCTCGGTGGCACACTTGGAGGAGGACGCGTAGTTGAGACACTCGAACTCATTCCCGGCACAGTTGCCGGCACCTGTGAGGAAGATAAAAGAAGCCGGAAATTAATGAAAATTGCTCGATCCTGTCTTGCCTTTTACAAAAATGATCGCTAGTAGTACTTTTGGTGATTTTAGTTTGCAATTCCTAATCATTTGTAAAATTGAACTTTAAGCAGAAGATCCACCAACTTATTTTCTGTCGAAAACATCAGGGGTAGCAAAAAAACTAATTAGAAGCAATTTTTTTCAAAGAAACCTTGCTATATGTGCTCCTTGTACGAAACGAGTTTTTAATCCTAAGTTTTTCAACAGAATAACATGACCGCAACTTACAGTTGAATTCGTCTCCGTAGTCTCCGCAGTCATTTTCGTTGTTGCATAGCCTGGCTGCTGCAATACATGTAGATCCGGAACACATGAACTCGTCCTTGTCAGGTGAACAGCCACCTGGGGAAATAACATTTTTGGTTGATATATTTGTCTCATTTATCACGAGTAGTTCTATGACGCCATATGAAAGGTGTTGCAAACATTCTTTTAGTGATCAAAAGGCGTCATTTGGTGCAACAACAACTCCATCCAAGTCACATGAAGGGTACAAACTAGAACATTTATGTATGTTATACATATTCACGTTCTGCTGCACTACTAAATGATTTCACACTTCAGTCTCTAGCTTAGATCAAGGTTGTAGAAACTCCAAGTTTGTAGGTTCTGACAATGACGACAAACGTGCTTAAGCAGCTCATTTCTATATCAAACTTTTTTCCATATGCCCAGTTTATCGGTCGCGGACAAAAGTTTGGCACAATTGCCTAAGTCCAGCCTAATATCCGTAACATCGACCAAAGCAAATAATTTATTTGAAATTAAACAATAGCATCAACTCACATCCCAGCTCGTCTAGGAATTTAGTTCCTCCGCAGTCGTTATGTCCGTCACACACTTTGTCGGTGGCACCTGTGCTGTCGAGACAGGTGTTGGTGTTGTTGCACTCGAACTTAGTGGAGCCAGCCGCGAAACAGGTGGGGCCGCCTGCAGGCGAAGAAAAAGACAGTTAGCGTTGAAATGACACTACAGTAGTTTATCTTAAGATTCGAATAGGAGGGACCAATGAACATAGGCGGGCAATCATCATTTTCATTATCGAAAATGTTTAAATACAACTTTTTACATGGAAATGTTTATTGAAAAGTGTCATTCTTACAGGCCAGTTCGTCGCCAAGGTCGAAACAGTCATTTGTTCCGTCGCACGTGTCTGCTATCGGGATACAAGTGGTGTTGTCGGGACAAAGGAAGTTCGCTCCCACACAGGGTGTCGCCAGACCAGGTCCGCCTGAAAAGAAAAACATTTCAGCTCAATCTTATCCTTCTTTCAGTTTTTCACGAGGAAAAAGTAAAAATAGCAGTCCCATCTAATGATCACTGTATCTACGCGCGCAAAGTTGTGAAGTAATAGTATTTGTTCCGGCTTTCGTAACGAAAGTAACGGAATAATTGTGCTGGGGGTGGTTCTTTTCTTCAGACAAGTTTCGGCTTTTTAACTAGCCATTTTTGACGGATTTTTTAAATATCATTCAGTAGACATTGTTATCCTGAGCTTAAATTTGAAAAAATACTTCACCTTTGATCATTCTCGTTAAGTTATGGGGGTTTAAAGATTGGCATTTCGGCCAATTTGAGACAATTAATGCGCGATAAACTTCCCGCTATTAACGCGTGAGAGGAGATTTATATAATCCGTCTTGTCTTAGAAATCGTTCCAAATTGGTTGAAGCGAGCTTATTTGCCATAACTGATTTCTTACTGGGAGCGAAATTATTCAATTTGTACTTTATATGGTGCGGGTGGGTGATTTTCACAAAAAGTCTCAAATTTGAAAAAAAAAATATATATATATATATTATTCATTTTAAATTTAAGTTTTTCATGTTAATACTCCTCCATAGACCTTAAAAGGCAGTCGGAACATTCAGGGCTTTGCCCTGATACGACCAGCCTTGTTTGATATTTTTGTATAGCAGTACTACCACTCAAGCTATAAATGATAATTTATTCTGATGATCTAAATTAGTACATGCCAAAAGCGATATAGCTTTTGGACATCATTGCTCATTTGTTAGCTAAACTTTATCAAGACTGCTCGTATCAAGGCAAAGCCCTGAATGTTCCCACTGCCTTTTAACGTGTATGGAGCATTATTGTTCCGACTTTCGATACCAAAGTAACGGAATATTTGTGCTCGGGGTGGGTTTTTTTTCTTCAGATAAATTTCGACTTTTTAACCAGCAATTTTTGACGGAAGTTTTTTATATCATTCGAAAAGTATTGTTGTCCTGAGCTTAAATTTGAAAAATATTTCACCTGTGATCATTTTTCGTGATGTTATGAGGGTTTAAAGATCGCCATTTTGGCCAATTTAGGACAATTAACGTGCGATATAATTCGCGCTATTAACGCGTAAGCGAGATTTAATCCGTCTTAGAAATCGTTCCAAATTGGTTTAACGAAGCTTATTTGCCATAATTTATTTGTCACAAGTAGCGAAATCTATCCTTTTGTACTTTATATGGCTTGTGGGGTGATGAGTTTCATAAAAAATTTCAAATTTTTGAAAAAAAAAATTTCATTTTTTTTTACATTTAATTTTATAATGTTATTACTGCTCCATAAGCCTTAAAAGGCAGTTGGAACATTCAGGGCTTCGCCCTGATACGAGCAGTCTTGTTAACATAAAAAATTAAATGTAACAATCAAATGAAATTTTTTTAATGAGATTTTTTGAAGAAATCATCCACGCACACGCCATATAAAGTACGAAGTGATAAATTTCGCTCCTGGTAACAAATTAATTATGGCAAATAAGCTTCTTTCAACCAATTTGGAACCATTTCTAAGACGGATTAAATCTCCGCTTACACGTTAATAGCGCGAAATATATCTATCGCGCGTTAATTGTCACAAATTGACTAAAATGGCAATCTTTCAACTCCCATAACTTTACAAAAAGTGATCACATGTGAAATATCAATTCAAATTTAAGCTCAGGACAACAATACTTTTGAATGTTATTTAAAAACTCCGTAAAAAACGGCTAGTTAAAACGACGCTCCTTAATGGTCTAACTAGGACCCTATACAGGAATTCTTTACAAAACTTTTAATAGGCCGAACTTAAGCTTTATGAAAACTATAAGCAATTTTCTGCTTTTTCATGCACTTTCATTTTGAATCTGTATTATGATGACAATTTCTTGTGGCGTCTAATTCTAAAGCAGGCTAACGCATGGTCACTGTAGAAACTTGGGGCAAAACACTTAAGAATGAAAACGTTTGAATGTCTTTAGAAAAAGTGTGAATGTTGTTAAATAGTAAAACATAAAGAAAACTCCGCGCAACTTACATCCTTGTTCGTCCACGTAGTTGTAAGTGTCCCCGCAATCATTGTTCTTGTCACACACAAGAGCGTCCGAGATACAAGAAGTACCCCCACATTTGATCTGATTGGACGCACAAGGGCTGCACCCCTTCTCGTCCTCGTACAACCCGCAGTCGTTCGTTGAGTCGCAAGTGTCCGATAACAGGACACAGGTGGCCGTCGTCGGACAATAGAAGTATAATTGAGGCGTAGTCACACAAGCTGCGTTACCTACAAGAGGGCAATTTAGAATTATTATCAGAGCAGTTACATGTCGGGGTGCGGTCAAAAAGTAGACAAAGTCGTGAGCCAATCAGAATCGAGGAAAGAAAATATTTCGTGTTTTCTTATTTATCGTGGAAAAAAAATATTTTGTTTTCTTACCTCGATTCTAATTGGCTCACGACTTTCTTATTTACAACTACTTTTTGCTCCGTAGCTTTACATGTCGAATGAAGCGGAGAGGCGAACTTTGCACAACTTCGAATTCAGAAAAAAATCAAAGCACTGCAATTTAAGTAAACGGAAAACAAAAAACTGCGAGAAAGGATAAACTGTGACTAGGATCCGATAAATGTGTGAAATAACTATAAGAAATGCTTTTGTATGAACAACAAAATAAGCCTCCTCGCTAACCTTATTTGCTGGAAATTAGACCACAAATCAAAAATTTCAAAAAAACATTGGAACAGAAATTTCGAAACTTTTTTATGTCGTTCGAATTACGACTGAAAGACCTTCAATTTGAAATATCACTCGACCTATTCCGATGATTATTTGTAATACCAAATTTTGCGTGGAAAAATACAAAAAAAAACTAATTACACCCGAATACAAAATTTCTCCCCAGTCTCAATGCTCGGAACTTTAGGAACGCGTATATCGCTAGTCATTGAATTAGACATAATCGACTAGCGTTGCCTTCAAAAAAAGATACAGAGCCAACAGAAAGTTGGCATACTCAATGAACGCAAGTAAACAGAAAAAAACATGACCTATTTTTTGAAAAAAACCCCACTTTCGAAATCTCAAGAAAAAAAATAGATAGCCTTAAAGCTCTTTGAATTTCTTGAATAACTTCTATTGACACTTTTTTATTTAAAGCAATTCAGTTTGAGAAAATGCATCCATATGAATTTTTTTTATTCCGCTGGAAAATCTGAAAAGTAAATTCCACTTTCGAAACTAGAAGTCGATCATGTTTTTGTGACCTTTACATTTTTGCTGTTCGATCGTGGAGTTTGCCTTCCTGTTAACAAAAAAATGAACTGAACTTTAAAAAAACGCACGTCGAACCGCAAAACCGCAAGCTTGAGTTTTATTCTCAGTGAAGCGCTAGATGAAACTTCCAATAAGAGTTTTTCCGCAGTAAAATGATTTTTTTTACTACTCAAAGGAAAATTTTTAGTCTATTTGATCGATTAGATTTAATGAGGCCTAGTCTTACGCTTAATTAGCCTTATTAGCTGGAAAGTAGACTGATAATTTGAAAACTCCAACAAGACTGCTCGTATCAGGGCAAAGCCCTGAATGTTCCGACTGCCTTTTTCGAGTTTAATGAGCAGTAATAACCTAAAAAATTAAATGTAATAAAATAAAATGGAATTTTTTTTTCGAAAATTTGAATTTTTTTATTAAAATCATCCCCCCACACGCCATATAAAGAACAAAAGGATAGATTTCGCTCCTTGTAACAAATCATTTAAGGCAAATAAGTTTCTTCGAACCAAATTGGAACGATTTTAAGAGGGATTAAATCTCCGCTTACGCCTTAATAGCGCGAATTATATCGCGCGTTAATTGTGCAAAATTGGCCGAAATGGCGACCTTTAAACCCCCAAAACTTAACGAAAAATGACTACAGGTGAAAAATCTTTTCAAATTTGAGCTCAGGGCAACAATACCTTTTGAATGATATTTAAAAATTCCGTCAAAAATGGCTAGTTAAAACGTCGAAATTTGTCTGAAGAAAAAAAACCCACCCCGAGCACAAAAATTCCGTTACTTTCGTATCGAAAGTCGGAACAATAAGTTTTTCACGATTCTAAGAAATTTTATTGCACAATTCAAACATCGTTCGAAGTATGATTCAGACAACTTTATCGTGATATATCACTAGACCGATTCAGGTGATTTTTTTTGGTACCTGATTTGGCGTGGTGAACAAAAAAACACCAGAAGACATAGGTTTCTCCCCAATTTCAATGAAGAGTTATAAAATCTATACGATACAAGTATGTACGAAGCTCCGGCCCTTTCATAACTTCTACGATACAGTTATCTAGAAAAATAAAATTTCACCAGCAGAAAACCTAATTCCTAAAATACACTACATGTTTTTGGAAATGAGTTCGCATTTGTAGAAACAAAGCAATGAAACGATTTGCTCGACACTATTTGAGCAAGCGATGAGCCAGACAAAGACATTGAAACAAAACGCGAAAGCAATAGATCTTTGGAGCAAAAGCTTTAATCTAGTCTAATTAGTCATAGTAAAACTACTGTGACAAGAAGGCGAAAAACCATCGAGGTGGGAAACTGACTACACTTTAGGGTTGAAATAAGGGAACCGATTGAAAAAATTTAATCGATGCACAATTTATCTTGATAGAATATATTCAATGGATCTGTGAAGTCACAAGAATTTTCAATATTGGCATCACATCCAAAGACGATTTATATCTGCTTCCTGCGGAAATCACAGAGCTCGCTTGCAACTTTAGAGTTGATTTTTTTAGCTGATGTAAAACGTAGAAGGACCAGAAATGAAAAATAAATATCATTCTAACAGAACAAGTATTAAGGCTTTAGTTTTTTTCTGTTCCGACCATTGAAAATGGCGAAGAACTATGTATTCGGGTGTGTTTTAGTCTTTCCTTTCTTTTTTAATTGTTTTCCACGTAAAATCAGGTGCCACAAAATAGTCATCGAAGTGAGTTAAAAGATATGACGTGTTGATGCCTTTTCAGTCGTGATTCGAGCGACATTGAAAAATTTCGAAAAAATTTTCCCAATGTCGAGAAAAACCGGTTTGAAATTTTTGAGCAAATAACGCGATCGAGTAACGTTCCGTATAAGAAAATTTAAGCTCAGAAAACATGATTTTACTATAAACAACTTCATATAAAAAAATTAGCGCTACCTTGGCCACACAGATTTTCCAAGAAATGAGAAAAAATTGTGCAAAAAAATAGAAAAATTGTTTAAAATTTGTTTTTTTTTAAATATCTTCTTAATACAATTTTTTGTCTGTTTTTCGTTTTTTTTAAAGCTAACTCTTCACAATTATGCCTAATTGGCTAACTTTCTACTCGTTTATGCAGTTTTCTCATCACTCGATAGGCAAAAAAAGCACTATAATAAAGAAAAAAAATGTGTAGTTTTTTATCAATATGGTCAGAACATTCTGTGCTACGTGCACAGTAACCTTGTATTCTTTTTCTTTTTGTTTCGACTTCCTAATGGTAAAAATTTGAGAAAATTGAGAGTTTTGCGGCCCAGTCAAGGGCTGTGTCATCTAGAACGATCAAAACTAGGCATGACTATGATATGAAAACTAAAGCAGTTAATCAGTGCTGAATCCATACATGCGGCTGCTAACTTGACAAATTATTGCAACATTAAATTTCGTTAGATTCAAAAAATTTCTAGGTCGCGTTGAGGTGGAGTGGTAGCACAGTTTGATGACTAACAGTTTCCTTCGTCCGAGTAGTCTCCGCAGTCGTTCACGCCGTCACACAGCTTCGCGGCATCAACGCACTTCACAGGTGTCGTGGTCCTGCACTTGAACTGTGTGGCAAGGCAGCCATCATTGGTGCCGCAGCCGATCTCATCGGCGTACTTGTCAGTGGGTCCGCAGCTGTTGTACCCATCGCACATGAGGGTTTTGTCGGTGATGCAGGTGCCTCCACCCCCTGTTCCTGCACAGTCGAAGCCATCCAGACATGCAGCAAGGCCTTCAAAAACAGGGCAACTGAAGTCAGTTTTGATTTTTGACCACATAGAGCAAATCAGCTTAAAAAGCCTATCATTCCCTTATGTCTCACAATATGCCATTCCTTTAACAGTCAAAAATATACTCTATGCACGACAAAATATTGACAAAATTTTTGGGTAGCTGCAAAGATAATCGTCTTTTTATGAACGATCATTTCTTATTATTTCATCACTCAAAGCAATTAAAGCGAGGAGGGGCTGCCTAGAGATGACTCACAATTCCACTCATCCTGCCAGTCTCCACAGTCGTTGTTCCCATCGCACACTGTCGACACACACCCCGCCCCATTGTCAGAGGCGGCCCTGATTGCACCCTGACATTTGATCTCATTCGCCGCACATCCGCCGCCTAACACGTGAAATTAAACCCTTGATGACCATTTTCTAGTTACACTGCTGGAGACCTAACCCGCGTGTTAATTAGTCAAACCTTGCCTAAAACAGCTCAACCAACAAACAAAAGCGAACATATTCAAATTCATTACCCGCACTCAGTAAAACGACAAAATAATCGATTATATTACAATTATAATTGTACTTTTACCAATATTATAATTAATTGTAAGCGTCAAATTTAGATGTTTAAACGATTTATAATCAATCAATCTTAATGATAACATTTTTCGTGACATTATAATAAATTATAACCAATTATAATTGATTATAATTTTTCCGAAAATCTCTTATAATCTGTTACAATGATTATAATCCTTTTTTTGTCAAAAATCTATAAAAAAGTTTTCATTGATTGGAAAACTGTTAAAATAATTTTCCCTTTTCCACATAAACCAATGTCTACGAAAAGCATAAAATATAAGCAATTCAGGCAGGTGCAAGATCGAAAAGAAAATAGGCAAACAAAAAGGATTATGAACAATTATAATCGATTATAATGGATTTTTTCTGCAAAACAAATGAATTAGAAATTTGGATAAAAATAATTGATTTTAATCGATTATAATGTATTATAATTGACTAATTTTGATTTCAAAACGAAAGATTATAATCGATTATTAATTGATTATAATCCATTTTTTCTCAATTTTTGTAGGATTGGTACTAAAAATTATATTATAATGGATTCTAACGCTTGAAACTGGATGGGGGTACTTTATGATTAGTTGGGCAAGTGTCAATACCATTGCCCATGAGTAGAATCGATGAAATTTTTTGAACTTTTCAAACCATTTCATTCAATTTGAGCATTTTGAGGTTTTGAATACTTCCAGGTTAAATCCAGTGGCACTTAGCACAGTGGCACTTAGCATAGTGGTAAGGCGTTCACTTTAGAATCGTCAGGTCGTGTAATCGATCCCATGCCATGGCAATGATAGTGTGTGAGGACGAGCTCTCACTTGACCTCTAGCTTCAGGTCTACCACAACCTGACCAAATTTGGCTGCAAAAGTGGTACCACGTGAAAGTTCTAGACGCACAAAAACGGCCTTGAGTCGCAAAAAAGAGCTTCGCTCAACAAAATAACACAGTCTGGAATGTGGGGAGATAATACAAATGGACTATCCTCGACAGGACTGTTAAAGGCCTACTGATAGATCCACTGCGATTCGCAGGAACTACAATTATTATTATTATTATAAATCCGTCGCTCCACTTCTTAATTTGAAATCGTACTTAAAAAACTTATATAAAGACCTAATTTGTCAGCAGAACTTAATACATATTTAGGATTTTGACTTTTGGGTAGAAAGTGTTAAAACTACAAACAGTTTAATAGTGTTGAAGAATATTGAATAAAATGTATTTTTCTGACTAAACTTTGTTTCTTTCAGCGCAAAATCAAACATAACTTTTGCTAGGAAAAAGAAGGTATTTCCTGTAGCTAAAATAGTTCGGATCCGCAAAGTGGTGAAAAGTATTTAAAAGAGGCTTTGAAGAACTCACATGCGAATTCGTCCTTGAACTTGAAACTTGGGTGGCAGTCATTGATTCCGTCGCAAACACTATTGTTGCTGACACACCTGGAATCCGCGTGGGTAGTAGTCGGCGCAGTGGAGCAGAAGAAGTCTGAGACACTTCCAGTGTTGTCAGAGCACTGTCGGTTGCAATTCAACTCGTCCTCCAGGCGGCCACAATCGTTCACTCCGTCACAAACTTTGCCGCCGGCGCCTGCCGCCAAGCATGAGCTGTCAGAGGGACATTCGAACTGGTCTTTGGGACAAGTACCTGCGTTGCCTAAAACGATCGAGGAATTTTCTGACGTCCGATAAAAGGATTAGCAAAAATCTTTACAGTCCGACATAATTAATCTTTTCATTTTTGAATGAAATATTTTTTATACAACGATATAAGCTTTACCATTTCTAATACAGAGGCAATGCTGCGCTTTGCAAACTCCAGCGAGAATATGACAAAAAGCAGCTCTTTTAAATGTAATAAGAAAAAGTAGAAATAAGCCTCGATTTATTAAAAATTCGGCTACGTCTCGAATTCGCTCTCTGAACGATCGCAATCTAGATATTAAGAGTCTCAAGCACTAATCACTCAGCCAAAAACGCTTAGTGAATCAAAAACACTAGCCACAAGTAAAGCAGAGAACAGATGCTATGAAATTTCCAATGCTACAGATAGTGATTATAGCAAAGAGCCACCAAATAAGAGAAGACTTTTAATGAACAACTTTATTTGCGAGTTAGGTTAGAAAAAAGAAGATTCATACTAATACACTACACTGCTTGCAAGTGTAAACACGCAAAGCACCACAAGTAATACAGCAAAATTTGGTTTGGAAGGGAAAACTTAGCTTGTAATTAGTGCGATTAGACACACTAGCAGTTATATCAAGCACTTTTTTGACTTATAATTAAAATATAATCAATAAAACCTATGGATTTCAAAATGTCAAAACAAAAATAGCTTTTGAAGTGCGAATGAATCAAAGTGATATTAAAAACAGGAGATCATTTAGGAGAACGTTTCCATTCTCTGGAAAAAAAGCAAATACATTTTGCGTTTTGTTCTCTCAAAACAAAATTCAAACAAGAAACAGTTGTACAAGTATAAAAAACCTTTTTGCAATCTATTATTCAACAAAAAAGTTGTCGCAATGTTGAGAAAAACCCGGTTTGAAGTTTTTGCTTTTTGGTCTAATTTCAAGCTAACAAGAAGAGGCTAAAGCACGCTTACAAAAGCTTATTGACGCTTGATTTAAGACATTTAATTTCTTAGTCAGCTTATGGAGCTTTTTAGCGCGAATTTGGGAATGATAAACTTCAAAATTCAAAAACTTTCTGCACAAAATTTTGTTGAAAATTTTTCGAAATTCTTCAACAATTTTTTTTTTCGTGTTCCCAGTCATTTGTCTGAAAACTGCTCTCAAATTGGCCTATTTTAGGATGAATGTCCAATATATTTAAGATCTTTTTTCTATCACGCCACGCAGAAAAAACGACACTAATTTTAAGAAAGTTTTTTTTTTGTATTTTTTAAGACTATGGTCTGAACATTCTGTGCTACTTGAACAGTAACCGGTTATCCTTGTTATAACATCTCAACAGATTAATTTTAGTATTTTCTTTTTTCTTCTTCCCTCAAAAAGTTCGTACTGTTTTGAGTTTTGATAAGAAATTTCGAGTTTCTTCAAAAGTTTTTGTTAAAAAATTTGTTAGGAAAATTGTTGAGAAACTAATAAAACAGTTTAATTTTTTCGTTCAGAGAAGTCTGAAACGGACCAGAACGTCTCATGAATATCTCTCAGGCTTTAATTCAATGGTTATAAATGCGGTTTATTTTGTTTTTGGTTTAACAGCCTGAAAACAATTTATCATTTCATTATTATTACTTATCAGCAAAAAAAGAATCGAAAAGAGTCCCTCTATGAGTCAACTTAACTTTAGCCAAAATGTTTTCACTTACATCCCATTTCATCTTCGTAAAATCCACAGTCATTAGAACCATCGCATATAGTTGTGTCGGCCACACATTTAGTGACGTCTTCTTTGCATGCGTACTGGTTCACAGCACAGCCCGAGCAGCCCATCTCGTCCTCGTAGCCCTTGTGAGTGGTGCCTCCTTCGTCCACCCAAGAAGAGCCCAGACAGTCATTCAGTCTAGAAAAAGTAAACAAGCCTTCCACTTGGAGAACCTAATTAAAACTAGCTGCTCAGCACTTGTAGGGCAACAACTGTGATGCCCCTGGTTAAGAATTAAATGCATTTGTTTGTGGTTATTTTCTGTTTTCTAGACTGGGTAATGTTGCCTCACCCTAAATTAACGAGCAGTTACAGTAAAAGGAAGCAAAAACAAGCAAAATGATAAATTACTCGATTCCATCTGACGAAAAAAAAAATCAGGCAATTCTCAAGATTCTTATAGCCAAATTGATGAACAGAACAATAAGACCACATAGTGGTGATTCGATGACTCACCCATTGCAAACTTGATATCCAGCACCACTCGTCTCCAAGATAGTATTGTCGTCACATGTGAACTGTGTGTTGGATGTCAAAGTAGTCGCACAATATTCCTCATCACTGAAGTCGCCACAGTCATTATTGCCATCGCACACCTTATTAGATGGGATGCAACCTGCTGTTGACGTGAAGAGTGCGAAGTAGGGAGCGGCGGGAGTGGGCACGGCAGTCGGGGTGTTGTTATGACACCGGAAGGATCCCACCGCACATCCTCCGCAGCCCGCGGCCTCGTCGCTACCGTCCGGACAATGGTTGACAAAGTCGCACTCCTCTGAAGTCGGGGCCACGCTATAGGTGTTGATTGCATCGTTACACGTCTTCGTGCTCACTAAAATGCAAAAAAAAACGGAATTATTCAATTAAAAGAATTGAACTCAACTCTCAGAGACATTGATTACCTCAATGAAATTTTTTTTAAATGTAATCCATTCCTAAATTTTGTATTTGCGTCATATGAAAGTTGATTAAAACGACATCAAACATGGTTGATAAAAAATGTCGCATATGCAATCATTTTACTTAAGCCTCTAAAAAAGTTTTCCACACTAAAACTAACATCGAAACTTAGACTGATATCCAATTAATTAACTCGAACAGACAAAAACACGGCCAGCATGCAAAACCTGATTGAATTCATGAAGCAACTCTTGTGACCACTTCTGGCCTGAGATCGCATATCTGTCAGCTTTTTCATCTATTTTTGCCATTGGTAACAACAATAAAAAGCTATGAAGTGTTGTTGAGTGAGACTTGATTGCTCAAAAATTGGACCATCGTCTAAATTTTGCGGTATCATTTGCCAAAATCAATCTGCGTCATAAATCTTGTTTTCGTCATATTTTAAGCAGCAAGTTTGCATACACCAAGTTAGCAGACGTATAATTGAAAAATGAGTTGGTCATATGTTATATAATACGCTCCCAATAAATATTTCAACTTAGAAAATGATCGGAAGAAAACCCTGACGTACAAGAAACAATCACTTTTGCATGTCTTGTAATAATTCCTATACTCTTTTTTCAATTTTGAAGAGCGCCTTCATCAGGTTGCCTTCAGTCAGTGACGTGAACAGAATGTGGGTCGGATTTTCAAATAAAAATAATGGAACTTCGTCAAGCTTTTTTTCGTCAAATTGCTTTATTGGGCTCCCCTAAGACCATAAAAATGGCCTACTATCGGTTGAATTTAACCACGGAAGAAACAAAATTTTTTAAAGTTACTTCAGAAACATATCAAACAAAAATGACAATCGAATTTTACAAAAAAAAAGTGTTCGCAGGAGAATCGAAAGATTGGATTGGCTGAAAAGATTTAATATTGACTGAAAAAGTGTCCGCGAACCTGTGTCGCTTATTTCTTAAAATGAAAAGATTATGAAGTAGATGGAATGAACGCAAAAGTTTATCTGATTTTGAACATAATCTGATCACATATTTGACGATCAGTTGGTAAAAACAAGGGGCGCTCACATGGTGCCGCCGTAAAGACAGCTGGCGAGGTGGAGGGCACATCGTCACAGTACGCAGTCACTGTCACTGTATAGCTAGTGCCCGACGTCAGATTTCCCAAAGTCACTGTGGCCGGAAGCACGGAGGCGCTGACGTCTGGAATCCCTGTGTCCCCGTTAGTGTCTGCAGGAGTGAACGTGATGTTGAACTTGGTGGCCGATCCAGTGTTGACGTTCAAGGTCAGTCGGACTGAATCAACCGTCGGGTTGCTGGCGCTGCCAGTTGTCACATCCGGTGCTGCAAACATAATCGGAAGCTCAAAAAGTTTGAAAATGAAATTATCCTGACAGACAAATTTTCCAGTCATATTTTTCAGCTTGAAATGTTAAAATGAAGATATCTAACTTTCAAAATTAATCGAAAAACGCGCATAAGGTCGCTGCAACACAGATATCTACTTAAGAATTTTAATCAGAGAAACGCCCAACAATTAATAATTTCTGAAAATTCGAAGAGCGAACAGACTTTTAAACTTGTTTCATGTCGCCTCAATGCATTTTAAAATTTATTCATCGACGATCAGTTTACTTTGGGTGCATTTGTGATTATTGAAACGCACCGAGGCATTGTGCGAAGTCGTAGGTGGTTGCGGACTCGTGTTGAGTAGCGGAGTCGTCTGTGCAGGTGGCTTTGGCCTGGAAATTGTACTTGCAGCCCGCTTTCAAGGTCGTGTAGGTTACGGCGTTACTCGTCGTTGATTTGGTCACCTGAAAAAAGAACGAGGAAAAATTAGACACTTCTTAGTCTCATGCTCACTAGTTTGTTGATTCGCTCTGCCAATTACATTACCACCACTCTAAGGTAACAATCGGCCCGAAGACGCTCTTGGCTCTGCATTAAAAGCAAGTCGACGACTCTCTTTGTTCAGAGTTTTTATAGATAACCAAACTTGTCAAAAATTATGAGCCTCAATGGACAAGAAAAAAAAACAACCGATTATTAAAACCATCATTTTTGTACGATAACTATTTTCGAAATTTTATCAAAAACTAACAAAGTTGGATACTTCATGTATAATTTGGAACATATAAGATATCAATCACCACCTCTCCACCAGAACTTATATTTCCCGTTTATCACCACACGGCCGCTATCGAAATAATTACAGCCCCTGGAAGGGTTTTGTGTCGTCTACATCTACTCACAGTTTGGTTGTTGCAGTAGTTCTGTGTGGTGGTAGCTGTGATGTATATCTCGGTGTAGACTCCGTTGGCCACTGTCAGAGTGTCCACAGCGTAGCTGGAAGGAGTGTTTGCAAATGGCAGGTTGTGGCTGTTCACCAGGTCAGGCACTATACACAATACACATCAGATAATATAGGCAATTTTATCACAATTTACCACTTCCACAAGCAGTCTTCGGCAACGTTTTTATTCTGTTCACGGCAAACCAAAACCCCTTTTGTTTGAAGACACTATTTAATAGTGGGGCGAAGCATAAGAAAAAGGTAAAATTTTTGCTAAAATGATAAAACTGGCGGGAGGGGGGTTAAAATCAGGTTGAAATTTTGAATTCGGAGTGAAATTTTAGTGAAGCTTAACTGCTGTGGGGTGAAGACGTATGAAATTATACAGAAGTACGAGTAATAATTTTCCATTTATCTGCATTGAGAAAAGTTTGCTGGTATTCAATCATCAAATGTTGCGGTGTTAAGGAGTCAAGGTTTATCAAAAGTTCAGCTACGATTTTTTTAATTAATTTTTAAGATCATTTATCCACGGGAGAAAGGACCAACACAAGAGCTGTACAGCTCATCACGGCGAACCGGTGTTGTGCCCCTGCAATTTACATGCAATAACTACATGCAATTTTTTGGGTTATTTTTCTGAGTTGGGTAATGTTGCTTCACCCTCAAGCAACGAGCACGGATCATGGTGGGCCTCGAACATCCGACCTTTCGATTGAGAGGCGGAGACGTAACCGCACTTCACCACCGCTCCCCTTAACGATTCTAGCTAGCATACACTTACGGGTGCACTGTTCCTTCGTTGTGGCCGTCTGAACTGTGCCAGCACTGGTCCCGCAGTAGGCAGTCGCGCTTAGAGTATGTTTGCAGCCCTCGGTCAAACCAGTGAGTTGTCCTTCGGTTGTCGGATTTGTCAGATTAAGAAGCACTGCGGGAGAGGGAGGACAGGCTGCTGATACCTGTATGTAGTCATATGATCCCACCACTGCAAGACCGGAGAAGTTGAGAGTCGTCTTTTGGAAGTCACTCCACATGAGACCGGTAAAATCTACGTTATCGGGAGCTAAAATAAAGTATTATTTGAAACAATCAACTAGCAGAAGCAATAAATTATCGAGGAAAAATAAAAAAAAATCGAAAATACACTAAAAGTTTACATCTTCCGAACTTACATACCATAGTACAAGTACCCTAATATGCAGATGGACCCCAAAAACATTTTGGCCATCTAAACCTTCGCAAGTTCGTTATCTTTCATACATGCTTTTTAACAGCGACCCAACTATCTTACGTATAGCGATTTGATATTATTACACTATATTTTGGAAGCTAAGAAAACGTTCTCTGAGCCAACTTATATAGAATTGAAAACAATTGCACTCTAGTCCGAGTTCTTTTTAATGTGCTTAATTTCTAATTATTACAAAAAACAAAATGCTGAAAATAACTCGAGTAGGTTTCACGGGGCGAACCCGGCCATTCAAATAAATGCTTGAACGACTAAGAAAAAATAATCATAAAAATTATACAACAGATGTTTTGTAGCACAACGCTTCTTGATTGAATACAGGAAATCAATAATTGTGCTTTGCTTTGATTGTTCCGACCATTGAAAAGGGGAAGGAACTTTGTATTCAGCTGTGTTTTAGTTTTTTAAATCCGACCATTTCAAAAATGGGGAGAAATTTTGAATTCGGGTGTGTTCTATTTTTTTGTGCTTTCCGCACAAAAAAAATCAGCTACCAAAAAAAACATCGAGGAGAGTTAAGTGATATGTCAAATTAAAGCAACTACAATCGTGCTTCGAACATTTAAAAATTTCAAAAATATTCCAGTGTCGAGAAAAACCGGTATGAAATCTTCGGTTTTCGTCTTAATTCGAGCGAATGAATAGAGCGAGCAGATTTACAAAAGCTTATTTTCATGGCTTAAAAGCTTCCATTAGCTTGATTTAAAACAAAAAAGCTAGTTTTAACTAAGTAACGATTTTTTTAGCACCTTCTTGGAATCAAAATTTCAAAAGTGGCAAAGAATATTTTTGATTTTTTTTTTAATTTATTCGTTTTTGTAGTCACTTTTCTCCAAAGATTGTTGTTCAGTTTGCTGATTGTTCTATGACTATTGAATATGCCTAATCTCTAGTTTTTGGTTCAGCTCATTTTATCACACCATATCAAAAATAACGACACTATTTTGAATAAATTTTTTTGTTGTCATTTTTGAGACTATGGTCGAAACATTCTGTGTTTCATGCAGAGAAACCGGCTATCCTTGTTTTATTTTTTGTTTTCCACACGAAGTCAGGTACTACAACTAATCATCGGAATGGGTCGAGTGATATATCATATTGAAATTTTTTAGCCGTGATTCGAACAACATCAAAAATCTTCGAACATTTTTTTGTATAGGAAAAAAACTCATTTTAAAATTTTGATTTTTGGTCTTATTTCCAGCCAGTGATGAGAGCGAGCAAACTTATTTTGATTTTCAGCAAAAAACAACTATCACAAAAATTCATCGTAATGGTCGCAGTGATTTGTCATATTAAAAACCTTTCAGTCCTGATTTGAACGACATTGATACTTATTTCAAGTCGAGTAAAAACCGGTTTGAAATTTAGAGATTCAGTCTACTTTTGAGCAAGAAAAGCAAATGAGCAGGCTTATTATAGAAGGATACAATGGAGAAAATGGGGACGAACTTTGTATTCGCGTGTGTTTTAGTTTTCATTTTTTTCTTGTTTTCCACGCAAAATTAGGTACCACACATACTCATCGGACTGGGCTGAGTGATATATCAAACTAAAGCGATTTCAGTCGTTCGAACCACAATAAAAATTCCCCGTGTCTAGAAAAACCGTTTTGAAGTTTTTGGTTTTTCGTCTAATTTTGAGGGTGTAAAGCGAGCGAGCAGGCTTGTTTATGATTAACTTAAGCCGTTTACTATAGCTTATGTTTTTATGCTTAATTTTAGTTTTACTCGAGTTGAATTAGTTTTTGCAGTTTTTAATACCTTTTTGGAAATCAAAACATTGAAAATTTAAAAAGAAATTGCAAAAAAATTGAAATGTGAGAATTTTTTCAATTCATTTTTCTTCAAAAATTGTTTTCCAATTTGCCTATTTTACTATCATTGTCGAACGTGCCTAATTTATAGTTTTTTGTTAAGATCCTTTCATCACATCACTCACTAATTTGAACAAAAAACTTTTCATGCTTGTTTTTTGAAGACAATGTTTGGAACATTCTGTACTACTTGCATTGTAACCGGCTATCCTTGTGTAAGATTCAAATTTAGTTGAAAAAACATTACGTTTCAACTTAATAACTTGATTTTAGCATGACAGTATAAATCAAATGTTTGCGCAAATGGTCGGATATTTGCAAGAGTAACGCAGATTTTTGGTTCAAAATGTTACACTGACGGACTTTTGCATGGTACATAAGTATTCACAACAGTAAGTATTGAATCAGGTCTCGAGTTCGAAAACGGTGTTTCAAATTGTCCCTTTCATCAATCCAATTCAATGCAGTGCAATTCAAGCATATCCATATGGTTATTTTTGTGTTTCACTCACAGTTCCATCCCTGGTTTACAGCGCGTTTAAACTAACTTTAGCTCAACTTACAACTTAAATACTACTTACCCTACCCCACCCCACCCCGCTCCAATCGGTCTATAAAATTAACTCACTGGTGCAGTGCCCGTAGATGGTGTCTGGGTTGCCGGCCACTCCATCGAAGTAGGGTGTTGCCGTGATGTTGTACTGGGTACCCGGGCTCAATCCGGATATTATAGTGCTATCGGGAGTGCTACCCTACAACAAAAAAAGAAGCACCTAGTGATTAATTACAATAATACCTTGCTAAATGGAGGTTGAACCTCAGAAAAAAATCTCGGACACTGGTCGGAGCTCGCCCAATGGTCGAAACACTCATGCGGAAAAACTTACACTTACTAATTTGAAATTTCTAGGCTGTTTAGTATTTATCTTTTCAACAGCCACCAAAAAAATTTTGTTTCGTATTGGCTCTATTTTCAAAAAACCTTCATACTTTGCGCACCTATAGAGCTTTGCGCACCTATATACTTTCCCGATCGTTGCCAGTGAGACTTCGAATGAATTTAATCCCTGCGATTTTCTGCAATTTTGCAACTATAAAATTCAGGCAATATTGCATCAGCGTAATTGAAACAAGAATAGACGGGTACTGTGCATGTACCACAGAATGTTCAGGCCAAATTTTTTTTTTCAAATTTAAAAGTCGTTTTTTTTCTGCGTGGTGTGATAAAAGGATCTTAACGAAAAACTAGAACTTAGGCATAATCGACCGTCATAGTAATTTATGCAAATTAGAAAACAGTTTTTGTCAAAACATGATTAGAAAAGCAAACAAAAAATAGAAAAAATTCAACTTTTTAATTCCCAAAATGGCGCCAAAAAAAACAAATTCAAAGAACACGACAAAAAAACGGTTTTAGAGATTAAAAAAGCAAAAAGAAAAAGTAAAAATAAGCCTCGAATTATTAAAAATTTGGCGACGTCTCGAATTCGAACCTACGACGCAGAAATTATCAGTCTCACGCATTAACCACTCAGCCGCAGACGCTTAGTCAATTACAAACACTAGCCAAAAATAAAGCAGAGAACAGATGCTATGAAATTTCCAATGCTAGAGATCGTGATTATAGCAAAAAGACACAGAAAAGAACACTTTTATTTGCGCGTTAGCTAAGCAAAAAGAAGGTTCGTACTAAAACACTAGCTATTCGCTAGCGTAAATAAGCTAATGCAAGCCTGCTTGCTTGCTTTACTCACTCAAAAACCAAAAATTTCCAACCGGTTTTTTCTGACACTGGGAAAAATCGATGAAGATTTTTTATTGTCGTTCGAGCCACGACTGAAAAAGCTTGAATATGTTATATCATTCAACTCATTTCAATGGCAGCTGATTTAGCGAGGAAAAAAAATAAAAAAACACACCCAAATACAAAGTTCCTCCCAATTTTCATTGGTCCGAACAATTGTTAAACTCTTAAAAATTCTGAGACAACTTCCTCAATTTTACTAAATCAGCCTTAAAACAATATTTCCTTAGTTAATGAAACAGCAAATAAAAAATGTTTCGGTACTTTTCGAAAAAATCTGTTTTGTTTCTAGAAAGAGCACCCTTATGTAGGTTTTTTTCATTTTTTATTCCAAAAAACAAAAGAACTCCTATTTTTGTTGAATTAATGACAAAAAATCGAAAAGAAAATTGAAACTTCCAAAATTAGTTTTCTTTTAGTAATATTAAGTTTTCTTAGCCTAAATAACCAATTTTCATTTTAAAAAAGCACTTCGATTGCTTTACGCATTCGGAATTAAATTTCAAGTCAGATTGTTCAAACCGGTTCCTCTCGAAACTCGAATTTTTTTTTTTAATTTAAATGTCGGTTGTATCACGACAAAAGGCCTTTAATATGATATATCACCCATTCTGAGGATAAATTGTGGGATCTGAGGTTGCGTGGAGAATGAAAAAAACTAACATACCCGAACACAAATTTCCTCCTCATTTTCAGTGGTCGGAACAATATAAAACATTAACTTAATGTGAATCAAGATTAGATTTTTTCGCGTCAAATGATGTTATTCGTCTTCAAATTAAGGGGAAAAACTATGAATAACGAAAAAAGGTTTTGAAAGAAAACACGCTTATAACAAAACTTTAGAGATTACTGGATTTGAATTTTGGTTATCCAGCAGCATTCAGACTCGATCTAAAACTACAATCCGACTGTCTTCTCAAAATGTTTACTTGCTAAGCACAATGATATACGCAGCTGAATAAATGACGCAAAACTTTTGCATATTTGCCAACAAAAATGATCTCCTATTATTAGAGCAGAAGCTGTGATTGTCCTAATGAAACAATGCAGGCTACTAATGGTCACTCATTGTTTCTTTATTGTTGTTTATAGTCCCGAAGATGCTCGTCCGGATTCTCGAACCAACCCCCAGAAACGTCGCCACAATTTTTTTGGGATTAAAATAGTGGTGTTCTGGGAACAAGTAAAAAGATGGAGAGTGGTATGAGCAAAGACACCATGGGAAATTTGGGGTATCATTGGGGTCAATTCAATTCCAAGATGGGGCTGTACAAAGATCTCATATGGGAAAAAGTTCTTTTGGTGAAACCAGGGAGATTTTCTTCGGCGGGGAGATATCAGGTGGTCTCAGGGGAAGAACTATGACGGATGGTGCATTTGATATGACCTGCCTAACTCTGTAGGGGTGTATTTACTTTTCAAGCAATTAAAAATTATTGAAGATGAAAGAAATTCGTTCATTGCTGTGGTGGTGAAATGCATCGGGCGAGAGCCATGTTGGTGATCGTCTATGGGTAAATTTTTGATAGGGTGGGATGGATCAAATATTTTTAAAATTTCGACAGCTGGGCTTCAAATCGACACTGGGCGGTATGAGTTTGAAGATTTGAGATCTTTAATTGGTTTCGGTACCACTTGAGTTTTTCCAAACTTGGAAATTTTGTTCAGAGAAGGAGAAAATTTAAAAATGTTCAGTAAAAACACTATTACTTTGAGTCCGATATGTTCAAGGAGGACACTGCATGGATCATCCGGTCCTATTGCTTTTGGGGTTTTGCCACTTTGATGCTGTTCTCAGCTTCCAGAGGGATGAAACTTAGTAAGTCTTCGAGGCTAAGTTTAAGGGCTTTTCTCTTAGTTGCTCTTTGAACTCTTTTGTGGGCTTTTATTTTAGTATTTTGCACTTCAAAGGCATTTGAAATGTTCAACGGCTGAGAAAATTTTATTAAGAATGACAGGACCATTTTCCAGAAGCAGATGGACCACGCATGTTGATTAAAATTCTGGAGTTCTCGTCATTTCTTTTCTTTTTTTTAAGAAATTTGACCATGACGTCTTTGCTTAAAACAAACAAAAAAGGGTAGTATGTATTTAAGTCTGATTTGATCTCTTTGTTGAGCAAGTTTCGTTGTTTCTTCATTGAGGGCTAGAAAAGGAGACAGAATGCCGTCTAGCGGGAATACCGTGACGTGCTGTGGCAAGTATAATGTCAAAAAAAAAATCCATTCTGCGGCTTTTACATCGTGCTGCAAAAATTGCTTCGCTAAAACTTTTTTTACTTTATTGATAAAACTTTTCCAGGCTGCCTCCTTAGCAGTAAAAAAAATAGCGGGGAGCGGGAATGATCTTCGCCTAGCTTTAAAAGTGTTTGATAAGATCAAATTGATAAATTAGATGGCGAGACCATCGTAAGATCTCAGGATGATGTTGAAGTGTAACTATCATATGGTAGCCTAATTTGATGATGGTCGTTTAGTGGGTTAAAAAGTAGATTCACTACTCAGGCTCTGCTTCTGGCCTCACGTTGGTCTCCGAGGATATTGGTGTACGAGAAAGGGGAGTAGGCATTAGCGTCACCGAGTTTGATACTGTTTTAATCAGATAAGAGAATTGTAATGGAGGCTTCAAATCCTATTAGATCGGGGAGGGATGTAGAAGTTTGCGATACAAATACTTTGGTTGCTGGCCGTTACTTGTACGCATTGCGCCTCCAAAATTCCGTCTTCCACTTTTATGAAAGGGAATAAAAGTAAGTCATACCTGGTATAAAAAAAATATGAATGACGGTAATGAGTCCATCTCCGTCTCAAGTACGGTCTTTTCTAATAATTGCATACTTTGGGTCCAATGAGGGAGTGCGATTCTTCATTTTTAACTTTGTTTTTTGCAAAGCCGCGATAGGGATCTGGCACAACATGGCTGCAATTTCGGGTGCTTTCCCGAATATGAAATTACAGTTTAATGGCAGATGTTCAGGGACTTAGTATAAGGGGAGGGGGTTTGCTCGGTTAACTAGGGGGTTTGTTATATAAAGGGGATTTGAGCCATGACGCGAATTAGGAATTTGATTATTTTCAAAGGGAGGTTTTATCACTGGGCTGGAATTTGTTGTTCGAGGGGAACTTGCAACCGGCTGGCGAGTAAGGTTAGTACTGTTAGTCACAAGAGGGGCAATATATAAAATTCAGAAATTAGTGGCAGTAAAAATCTCTGTTGTGCTCTTTGAACTTTTTAAGACCACTAAATTTGAATCTGTTAAGCTCTTTGAGCTTGCATCTGCTGTGATCTTTGAATTTTTTCAGACCACTGATGTTGAAATGAATCCAACCACATACGCAGCACCAGACGCTGGTTTGGGTTTGTTAATTTTTTGTTAACAGGGGGAGCAGGTGTAGGGACCAGTCTTAGGGTAAAAACCGGCACAAAGGAGTAGGGTTTAATTTTAATAGACGGAGCGAACCGACCGACTTAGGAAGCTCCGAAACAAAAAAAAACGGAAAGAGCATGCTTTCCGCGCACCTTTGTATGTGAAGGGTATCACACACACGCAAAAAAACTGCAAAAAGAGCTCAAAAAGGAAAAATTACCGCCTTGACGCTAATTGGTTTGAACTAGAGCTTCCGGGCGAAAAGTCAGTTGCCTTTTTGAACTAGAGCTTCCGGGCGAAGAGTCAGTTGCCACGAGATCTTGCCTTTAGTGCTTTCCACCTATACTCTATTCAAGGTCAGAAAAAAGGGTAGAAAAGAAGCTTTAAAATAACCGATATGGCGAGATGCATAAGTCTTATGCTATGTAGCTGACCCAAAAACCTTGCATCAAAAATTGCACTACTGTGTCCCGCTTTTCATGGAAAAAATTGGACTGATCAAATACGACTACACAGGCTAGCTGGTAGCCATAAATTTTGAATTTGTCATTTTTTTTTCATCTTTACGCTTGCGACTAGCATATAAACCGGTATAAAGACTTTATTTTGGGTATAAAATAGTTTAACAAAATCATTGATTCATTTGTGCAGCATTCACTCATGCAGCTGCCAAGCTCGTTTACTTGAAAATTGAAAATTAACTTCTAGTTACCAAACTTAGTGGAAACTAAATTGAAAATTAACTACTAGTTACCAAACTTAGTAGTTACCAAACTTCTAGCTAAGAGCCTAGGCTCGAATCCGGCCAGGCACTGTTTTTTTTACTGAAATTAGCCAGGATCAAAAATTTATCAGCCTATCGGTCATATGCTTATTTTTTTACAGCCTAGCTGCAACAATCTCTACGTTTCTTGTGCTGTAAGCTATTTTTTGCAATTGAAAGCGTTTTTGATTCGTTTATCTAATTTGTTTTCTAAATAACTCTGACTTCGTATCATTTCTTTTTTTTTAGTTTACAAGCTTTATTCGGCCTAAATGGTTTAGGCGGTTGGATTAATTTTATGCTCATTACGTCTTTGTGAATAATTTTATACTGGTGGTATTGTCTTTGGACGTGCGCTCCTCAAAGAACATCATTTGAGACAAAAACTTGGAAATGCTTATAGGTGTGACATTATTCGATAGTTTGAAAAAACTTTTTCCCAATTTAATGGCAATTATGTTATTTTCTATCGGCCTAGCTTGTGTTAAAAATGCAGCTGTGTGATCATAACTTGAGAAAAAAAATTCAAGTCTAGAGAAATAACATAGAAAACTATTAAGTTATTAAAACGCTTAATATAATTAGAACTTAAAATTCCCCTCCTTCTCAATTCTGGTTATCAAATTTTCCGAAGAGTCCCCCTTCGGTATATTTTTATGACATCCATTTTTCGCTGAAGAGCCTCAAAATTTTTCTAAAGTCGCCTTCGGCGCCAATATGACTAATTTTGAGGGGGGAGTGCGCGCCGAAAAAAACACAATTTTTCGATCAAAATTTTCCAAAAAAGCCTAAAAACGGCGCAGAAAATTTTTTTTTAAAATAGGGTCCTTATTTTATTTTGGGAGAGTTCGGAAAATCAAATTGGTCAAGCTTAAAACAAGGCCGGCAAAATTTTCAAAATTTTTTGAAAAACCGCCCCGCTAAAAAAATTTGGCGCACGCAACTGTGTGGTAAACATGTTCAAGTGAGTAAAAACATGCGAACATTCTTAAGAGTTTTTGCTGTCAATGCGATCAAATTTTAGAGACTTACTGTGACAGTGACAGAACTTGTGGTGCTCGGCCCTCCTCCTGACACCGTGTAGCTAACAACCCAAGTGTCAACTGGACTAACACTTGGATTTGTGTCCAGATTGAGAGATATAGTAGCGGTAGTCTGTCCCGTCACAGATATATCCGCGTCCTCAGGCGCTGAAAAAACACGATTATTTTTGCTGCAATACTCGAAGAACGGAAAACAACCATACATTGTTTTAAAATTTTGAGCTCATTTAAAAGGCTAATGCGTTTTGACATAAAAATTATTAACAAAACACAGTAGTTTCACGCATTTTACCCCATGAATAGTTTAAACTAAAAAATTAATTTTGAACTTTGAAAAAAAAACAGTTTACTCGATGCCAGTTGGCGTTGCACTTATTTTCTAAATCCAAAATTTTAAAAACCCGAAAGATTTAGACATTTGCATCTATTGCAATCCAAAAGATGAGACAACTATTAAAAACCTAAAAAATGTTGATTTAAAATTCTAAACTTCAAACCACTCAACATGAGCTAATACGCAATTCAGCATGGATTCCAAAAACAACTTAAAAGAGATGAAATTCATAAGCCTCTTTCAATTATATTATATTCAATTATAATCATAATTTTAGAGGCAGGATTTTAGGGCCGGATCTAGGATTTTCTCGAGGGGGAGGGGGCGGATTTTCAAAAAAAATCGAAAATTGTGTCGACCTTTTTTAAGTCGATAAAATTGGATTGCCGAGCTCTGCCAAAGCACTAAAAAAGACTGTGTTTTGGCCAAACTTTCTGCGTCGGAAAAAAATTTTTTAAAAAAAAACATGCCCAAAAATGCGTTTTGAGGCACTTTCTGGAAACATTTTTAACAAAAAAGGTTCGTTTTTTGGCGCACGCTCCTCCCTCCAAATTAGTATGCTTCGCGCTTTAGAAAACTTTTAGGGTCAGTCAACCAAAAATGGATACCTCAAAATAGTACGAAGGGGGACCCTTTGGGTCGGCATGGGGTCAAATTTCTGAGGGGAGGGGGTCACAAATCCGCCCCTGATTATAATAGTTATATTAAATTATTCTTTCAAATTGATAACGAATGACATTTAGATGTAGTTTCAAAAAGCAAACTCATAATAACTCAAATTTTTCATTTTTCCGAAATTTTTTTGCTTTTTTTTCAATAAACTTAACCCCAATTGAGAAATAAGGACCAATGGATAAATTTTGACACAGAGGCGAAGTTGCACTTCGCATATACAAGGAAAAATATGACCGATAACGCTACTGGGAAAAACTGAATGAGTAAAACTTTTAGTCTACAAAATTTCTTAAGTGACGCGCGCCAATTATGAGTCTATCTAATTGCTAGATGACGCAAGCCAATTGTGACGCATTAGCAGTACCAGTCAATTTGAAAAAAAAAGAAATTCACCAAGTAACATGCCTCAATTTGTAGAGCGGACGCATTTTAAGTAGTATACGAAAAAGTTCGTTAAAAACATCCGACCCTGCCCAGGTTCGAACCCTCTCATTTTGTTGCGGGTCTCCTTCCCTACCTCTACGCTACAAATCCATGATACATTGAAGCTAAACTGCTAATTGTAATATAATAGTCTGTGTTAATATCCTTAGCATTGGCTGTACTTAATAGCTGGTTATTGATCAAAATGAACACTTTCAAAATGAACACTAGTAGTTGCGACTTACGCTTGGAAAAAAGAAAGTTCACACTATCACACAAGCGTTGCTTATGTAAATACACTCGAAATTCAAATCATATTCATCACGCCATTTGTATTTTTATTATTAAGCAAGAGAATTTTGGATTCGTTTTTTTCCATAAGTTCGACTTCGCAAATACCCGTTTCTGAAGCAAATAACCAACTTCGCAAAAACCGGCTTCAAGTTTTCCCATAATACAAATATCCGTATCTGAAAACAGTTGATACCGGTGATCAAAAGTAAAAAAAGTATTTTGCATGTAATCATTAAAAAACACTTAAATTTAAATATTTTTACGCTTTTTTGACCATATAGTTTGATTCGCAGATACCTACAAAACCAGTAAGAAATTTAAGGGCTTCAGGCTTCTCTCACTTTCAATAACAGCTGATACGACTGGCTCATATCAGAAGACTCCGAGCCTGAATGTGCCGTTTGATTTGTCTCAGATATCTTTTGGCAAAACACAAAAATTATGAAAATTTACACTTGATAACTTTGATTTTGATATTTGTTTTCTGCCACCTACATTCAATATCAAGCAGTAGGTCATATACTTTAACTCTTTTCAGTTTACAAAAATGCTGGTACTAATTGACTTGCTTAAATTAGTTTTAAAATGCATATTGTTTTAACGTTTAACAAGCAAATTAAAAAATCAATTGTATCAAAAAAATAAACTCTATAACTTGTCAAAATAAAAAATGCGTTATTGCCAAAAAAATTGGTTTGTTGCGGAGAGGAACAAAAAGAGTAAATTTACTAGAAATTAATAATTTTGGAGATAATATTGTTTGATAATTGTATCGGAGACTCGAGACAGGTTTTTAAGCTAATAAACGAACTTTTTGGTAAAAACTCGAAAAGTCAAGGAGTAGCTGTAAAGAAAAAGTGGCTGAGCCATTTTCAATTGACGAAAAGCTTGACGATCAAAATCCGAGTGTATGTCCAATAATAAGTGTTGAGTCTGTTCCACAGTCCTTTTATCCCTCTAACAGCACTTTTAAAGAAGTATTGATTGTCATTAAAAACATGATGCCAAAGCAATCTTCAGGCATAGACGAAATAAGCAGCCATTTTGTTACAGTGTCTCCCTACAATACTGCCCCAAATTTAATCTATTTAACTATTATTTTTTCTTATCTGCTATATTTCCCCCCTCCATTCAAGTATGCTGAAGTCTTCCCACTGCATAAAATTGGCAGAAAGATGAATATTATTAATTTTGGCCTAAATACTCCTAAACAGTAGCGGATTTAGGGGTGGCGGGGGGGGGGGGGGGGGGGGGCGGACGCTTCCTTACAGGGATTCGACCCGCTGCCGACCCAAAGGGTCCCCCCTTTGTACTATTTTGAGATAACGCGATTTTTTGGTCGAAATTTTCCAAAAAGTGCCTAAAAACGCTATTTTTAGCCTGTTTTTCAAAATTTTGCCTGCGGCGCAAAAACTTTGACCAAAACAGGGTCTTTATAGTGGTTTGGAGAGCTCGGAAAATCTATTTGGTCGACCTAGAAAAAAAAGGTCGAGAAATTCCTAGATTCGCGCCTGCTCCTAAATGCGTCCAGTAAATAATTTGAAAAAATTAAGCCCAACCAACTGTATTATTTTTTTTTGTTTTTAAATTATACAGTCGATAACAAAATGATGCTTGATAAATTGGAACTATATGGCTTCCAGGTTCTTTGCTATAATCTTTGGGTCGATAATCTTTTGGGTCAATCTATATGAAATGTGCTTCATCCAGCTGGTTACCTATAAGCAAAAGGTTCCAAAAGGTTCAACTTCAATCCACCGCGGCTTTGTTCTGACCATTGAAAATTGGCAGGATCTTAGTATTAGGGTGTGTCTTACTTTTTTCCCACGCACATCAGGTACCACAACTTATCATTGGACTGCAAAAAATTATATATCATAAAAAAGTCCTTTCAACGGTGATTTCCGCGATATTTACAAGTTCCAACAAATTTCCCCAAAAACTTTAAAAACCAAAAACTTTTTGATTTACTACGACTTTTTGGAATGTAGTTCTAGTCATTTTTTTCAACAAAAACTGATATTCCCATTTGTTTATTTTATTTAGACTGTCAAATATGCCTAAGTTGTAGTTTTTCAATCAGATCGTTTTATCAAACCACGCAAAAAGACATTCAATTGAAAAACACTTTTTTAATATTTTAGTCTAAGACTGGTATGAAAATTCTATGCTTATTGCGCAATAACCGGCTATCCTTGTTTATTTTTTACAAAAAATGATATTACCAATAAAACGGGGGCCTCTGAGGTACTCTCATTTTTGCAATAATGTTATCGCGTGTATTTTGAGACTGGGACTGGGCGAGTCTCAATCTTACATCTTCTGTGCTAACAACTGGCTAATTTCTAACTTCAAATTTTGATGAAAATAAATAAACTAAACTAGGATATCTTACAAAAACTTCCAATTTTCATGTGGCTATTGATCATTAACTGTTTTACACTAATCTTTCCAGTAAGTACTTGAATATAAAAGTGGATAAAAACTTAATGTTCTCGCATCACATTGCAAAAATCAAACAACACTTGGACACTATTCTGGATTGCTTTCTAAAATGAAAACTTGTGTACGCAGAAGGGCGACGATGAAGTATTACATTTCTTAAATACAGCCAATATTTCAACGGCCTCCTGATATATTTTTTAATGATTTTTCTTTAAAAAAAATCAGCTTTTTTAGTAAAATTTAAAATCATCAAAATGATATACAAAAAACATGATGGCGTGTCAATGAAATTTCAGCTGAACAATATTGTTACCGCTCATGAGCTTTGTTTATCAAGTTCAGTTAATAAGATACATTCCACTAGTTTTCTGAACCATTTTTTGTTGCAAAAACTTTTTCATGTAGCTCCAGCAGGTCAATCGTTCCTTATTACAACAAAAATTTAACAGAAATAAAGTTGAATGAATCGATTTTTTGAAGAAATAATTTTGAATTTATAAAAGCAATTTTGAGCACAGAATTAGGGATACATAAATATTGGGCAACTCAGAACTAATCCATTTTAGATTTTAGTTTTTAATTCTTATGCCTTATAGAATCATTTAATTGATGCTATCAGGGAACCCATTTTGAGTTGCAGTTCTAGTATGAAAATATCACCTTCCAATTCCTTCTTGTTTTCGAAATATCGCAATTCTTATCAAAATTTTTTGCGATTTGAATTCCTTCGCGAAAAATTAGCGAACTACTTGCATCGATATTAAAAATACAAATCAAAAATTGAATTGACAATCCAAAAAGTTTATTTTAACTTATCGCGGTTTTAATCAACAAAAAAATACGACAACAAAGAAGCCGAAAAACGTGTATGATGAAGGAAAAAATGAAAAAAAACCATTTTTTGATAACATCATCATTGGGTGCAATTTCAGCCAGAAATTTTGACCTTCCAATTTCTTGTAGTTTTCTTGTAACTTAAATTTTTTTTCGGTTCTCGATCGACTTTGAGAGAATCTCATCGTTGAAGAGTAGCAAAATAAATAGTCTTCAGCGTGCAATATTGTGTCATAAAAAATATAGTGATGATTCTAACTTAGCTCTAAACTAAATTATAAATTCTAATGCGGATGATAGCTTATACTTCTGTTTGTATTTTAACCGAGGCAAGACTCTAAGTGGGCATGGCATAACGTATACCTTTTGTTTATCCTCTTTATTACAGTGCGTGCCTTTGTTGATTTAAAGTACTATGTTGTTCTACTATTTCAAAGAACCTAATTCATTCTTTATTTTTTCAAATATTTTGAAAGCAGAATAATTCACCTCGTTTAAATTTCTCAAAAGCCTACATAAATAAGTTTAAAAAATCGGCAAAGTTTGCACTTATCAAAAACCCTCAGTTTGGCTAAAAAATACTGCAGGCAGAAATGAATAAAGTCAAATTAATTTGAACTCAGAATCTATAAACAAAAATCAGAAGAACTGGACAGTGGTGCTTGCATTCACAAATCTACAGAAGCGAGGTGTTTTATTTACTAGATAAGGTGCGCCTGTGTCGTCTACGGGCTTTCAAACCTGGCGCTGCGCTGACATCGATACCTAAAAGTATTATTTTCAGAAAGAACTAAGTTAGCTCGTTCAAATTTTATGCAATTTCTATGATGAACAGTACCATGATTTTTAAGATAAATTCAACATCCGTCAGCGTTGTATCTTAAACATCGCGGTTGTATGACTGTATATAAAAAATTGGCATTCAGAAATGAGGGATCAATTATGCATTTTGCCAAGCAGTCGTATTTTTAAGGCTGTCCTAAAAAAAAGAAGCAGATTCTAATTGAACTACGCAATATTCATCAAAAACTTTCTAAATTCCTTCACAAATAAGTGTGCATGCCTGTTTGTGATGCGGTTGTCGCGGCGACACTGCACAGACCCACGGGGGTTGTGGTGGCGTCACAGTCGATGCAGGCGATGATCTCAAATGTGTAGTCGGTGGAGTCATCCAGGGTAGGGAATCGGAAGGGAGAGGAGACGTCTGTGTGCACTGTGTATCCTGCGTCTGTGCTCCGTTTCACCTTGTACGCGTCGGGTGCGGGAGAGTTGTCGTCCCAAGTTAGCACTATGTAGTCGTTGGTGACATTATGCGCCGCAAAGTTAACCACTGTCGCTGGTTCTAAAACATTCGTACAGGATTTTAAACTGAAAATACTGTCTTTCAAAACTATCAATGCAATTTTTGATCCAGAATGATGGAAATCAGATTAAACGTTTCAAAATTTTTGATACAAATTGGGTCAGACGGCTGAAACTAAATTGGCATTTGATTCAACTTATTTGGGCAACCCATGTAAAATGTTTATGCGTACAAGAAAACTGAAATTGAAACAAGTTTTCGACATTTTTGCAAGAAGCGGCATTTTCAGTAAAATGCAAAAAACATTTAAAAAAATGTTCGGTCTTTGCAAAGATTGTAGCAGATAAAGAGCATTTTTACTTGTGCAGTAAATTGCTTGAGGTGCGGATGCTGAATTGTGTGTCCCACAGCTAGATTGAAAGGATATATTATAGGGACAGCCTGGTTGCAAAGAGGCAAAAGTCAGTTCAGCCCCCACACTGTAGGCAACTGTTTCCGTCTCTGTAAGGGTACAGACGGGGTCATTTGAGGTGGCAGTTGCAGTCACACTCTGCCAAGCAGAAGAGTCAGTGGTATCGAGGGTTCCGATCTTGAATCCAGTAGTAGTCACTGCTGATTGAGACACTCCCGCAGCATTTATGATTTTAGGAGCTGCAGCAAAGAAGTCTTTGTTTATATCAAATTTTTGAGGTTTTATAAAAAGAAAGATTTCAAATGTTGTCTTTTACCTTCACAGTAGAATTTACAGTCGTTAACCTTAATCTCATGTAGTTCATGGATTTGGATCCAAGAGGTTCTACAGCCATTCAATCTTTTGTTAAAATTGCTGTTTGCGCAACCCACTTTTAATGCAGGAGTATCATTGTTTCTTTAAGTCAGCTTACCAGTAAAATGGTTCTCAGAAGTGGGGGTGGCGATGCAGTCCACGTCTCCCGACTCCTCCTTGCCCGCAACTGTGATCGTATATTGGCTACAAGAGTCCAGAGTGGCGAACAGGTGCTGCTTGTCCGTTCCCACCTTGTCCGGCACAGGAGTGAGAGGTCCCGCGAGTTTCTGGTATGTCAGCATCCATTTGTCTGGATCGACGTCTGGACTCAAAGCATATGAGATGTTGATTGAATCTTCGAGACTTTCGACTACAGTGATTGTTGCAGCACCAGGCGCTGAAACGTTAAACACATTTCTAAGTAAGGTAAATTGGAGAAAGAAAATTGTTGCAAGTGGAAAAACAGCATTGCATAGCCTTAACTCTACCTGTATAGACAGTGTGTGAAACTGAATCATCCCCGTACAGTTTCTCAGCCGGTGTTCCGGTGCAGCTCTTGTATCCCTTGACGTAGTAAGAGTAACTTGAGTGTGCAGTCAGACTGCCCTCAGCGTATGGAGATGTCTGGTCTGCGACGAAGGCAGACAAAGCCCCGCTGTAGACGTCGAACCCAGTGGTGCCTGGAGAGCCACTCACCCAGGTCATATTGATCGAAGTATCCGTACAAGCAGTCTGGACCAGAGTGTCCGGCGCGTTTGGTTCTAAATAAAAATTGAAACTGAAATTTAAGAAAATTGAAAATAGTTCGAACTTAATTCTAGCAACAAGACAGTTCAGCAACGCTAGAACCTTTATAGTAAATAACGTTGGTTGCAAGAAAATTCATTGTATTGAATTTTACGTTTGAATTAAAAGTCCTGTCATTTATTGATCCGATTCAGGGCAGGCTGCTATACTAGATGGTCTAAGCACAAAAACTGGAAACTTTCCGTAAAAGTTTTTTTTTCAAAAGCTTAAGCTTACTTGTGCAGTATTTGTTCGACACGTTGTTTGCTGAAGTCAACGTATCCCCGTCGCACAGCGGTGACAACTGGAACTCATATTCGCATGCATCTGGCAACCCCGGCACCGAAATGTTCCTCTCATTCACATTACTCTTGTAGTTCACAATTGCAGGGATTGGACAGTTGGTGGTGTCTGAGGTTCCAGTGATGATGGCCTGGACTTTCTCGAAATTGTCGGTTCCCATGTTTACATTCACGATTTCGATCGTCTGATTGGAGGTGGAGATGCCCTGAGCTCCGGCTGAGGTGACGTCAGCAGGAACTGAAAAAGAAGACGCGGAGCTTATCAAAATGCTTTCTCACAGAGATAAAAAGGTCTTTTCTGTTAGTCCTCATTATTATGACAAACAGATATGTTTTAACCTTCCGTTCGATTACAAATCAAGTCACTACAAAAGAATTTAATATGACTCCTCACTCGATCTCACTTGACGCTTACTTGTGATGCCTAGTTTTGCCAAGAGTAACTTCATCATCATCATTTTTATGTTTATTTAGGCACTCTGTTCATAAATAACGCTCAAGAGTGGGCTCGCAAAGTTATTTAATTAGTTGTAGAAATTTTTTTTGAAAATATTCGTGTTCAAAGTTCAATAAACAAAACTTGGAAAAAAACTAAAAATGAGACGTACGAGTGAATACACTATTATTGGAGCTGGACTGTCCTTCAACTCTGGTTCCATCTGGTGCCTCGACATAAGGAGTAATTGTGATATCATAACTGGTGCACCCAGCCAAGGTCATTATGGTGGTGGGGGATGTCTCCCCTGTCTTGTCCGTTGCGGCTCCTCCGGCGGTGGGAACGTAGCTGATTTTGAAGTCGGTCACAGGTGATGCGGGTGCGGTGACGTAAGTCAGAACCAGCTGGGTTTCACTGGGGGTGATGGAACTAATACTGGCCTGCTCGGGAGCTGATATAAAAAACCACTTTAAATAAATTGACTTTGGGAGCGAAACTTTACTAAAAAAAAAACTCTTAGGAAAAAACCACTAAGATGAACTTTTTTTTAATAGCGATAACGATAGAGTCTACAGAGGGTGTCTTATAAAACTTTCGATGATATAAAAGCATTATTTTTTAAGAGAAAACAGCAGCCAATTAAGATGATATGTTGAAATTTTCAAGACCAGAGTAGACATTGCGTCGACCAAGTTTTTAAAACATTTCCTTTGAGGTATAACCAAATAAATAAATTCCAACCTCCACAAATATCGAACGTGTCATCATCGCCCTCCAGGGCGTCCCCATTACACGTCAACTCCGCCCTCAAGGTAAGGACAACGCAAGTGCCGGCAGTCACTGCGGCAGTAGCGCCAGTGTCCGTGTTGGCGATGTCAATGAAAGCTCCTCCCCCAACTTTGTATTCGTACTTTGTCGGCAGTGGGTCATGGTGGGTGAACGTGAAAGGTGCGGCTGTGGTGTTGGTGGTGGAGGGGTCCCAAGTACCTGGAACTGCGGCAGGTGCTGAAACAATTCCAAAAACGAATAAACTAAATGACCTAAAAGTTAAGGAAGTAATTTCAATCAGTTTTTCTTTGAGACTTTCATATAATCGTTTAAGTTAGCGTGGTCTGGAGTTGAAAAAAAACTACAGACTTTACTTTGTAAACTAGTCCCACTTTCTCAGAATTTATTTGCTTTGAATTCACATAAAACTCACTTGACCGTATGTAGTTACATTTAAATCATAAAAAAAATTAATGTCAGTTGAATCGTTGAATCTGGGACACACCTGTGCAATAAGTGATGCTCGTCGTGTTCACACTTCCTCCTCCAAAACAGGTGGCGTTGAACTCCACAGTATAAGAACAACCCGGAGTCAGGGTATCCATCGTCACCTCAGTAGTAGTCGTGCTGTCGAAATCAGTGCCAGTGCATACAGGTGTAGAGCTGAAGGCTCTGGCGTTGATAGTCTTGGTTGGCGACCCAGGGAGTCCCGTGATCTTGAAGGAGGTGCTGGTCACGTCGGTAGCCGGAGTGGAGAGACTAGCCGGGCTAACATCGGAAGGAACTGCAAAAAAAGCGACATTTCTCTCTCTTCTCCAATTTTACCAGTGATTTTGTAACAGAGCTAAATTGTCCTGAAGCTCGTTGGAAACTTGTTATTCAAAAACTAGCTGAAGCTATCATTCAATCAGCCAAGTTGTTCAGAAATTAGGTCTTTGATTTTTTTCTCATTAAATTATCCGCATTAAAAATTTCCATAATTTTCAGCTCTTGAAAACAGAAATGTTCAAACTCGTTTAACTCACGCGTCGCTTCATCGTCAAGCTGTTTCATTGGCGAGATACATCCAGGACTACTGGCTATCACGTCTATATCATACTTAGTGCACTCTGTTAGACCAGTGAAGTTCGCACTGGTGTCCGCTCCGTCTGGGTAGATGGTGGCCTGCTTGGTGGCATGTGCACTGTTCCATCTCTCCACAGTGTACTGTGTCACTGGGGTTCCCGAAGGGGTGGTCCCGATTGAGAAGACGAGAGAGGTGTCCGAGCGACCGGTGATGGCTGCGTTGACCGAGGTTGCGGCTACAAAAGAACCACTTTAGTGCTTAATATGGTCCTTTAGTGAAAAAAAAACTAAGCGAGATTTACAAAAATACGATTCAAAGCACAATCCATCCCAATACATACGTAGTTTAGCAAAAACAAATTCAAATCAGTTCAAGATTTTTTTTTAAAAAAATGAGAACCCAGTTCGTAAATCGGAGGCTGCAAAGATTCCGATGTTAATTGTGAGATCACCTGTGCTGACGACGACCTCAGTCGCCGGTGAAAATCCGTCTGAGTACAGCGAATCCGCGTCGGCATTGGGACAGTCAAACTTGGACCTTATCTGGAACGTGTAAGACTGTCCAGCTGTGACTCCAGTGGTTATCTCGTGGTCGAATCCAGTGGCTGGGATCCAGGTGGCGTCTGTTTTGATCTTGACCTCGTATCCGTCGTGCGAAGGGGCTGAGGCGTTTGCAGCCCAGCTTACTTTGAAAGAGGTGTCCGAGCAGTCTATTTGCTGGAAGGTGATGGGCGCAGCGGGCACTAAATTTTCAAGTATTTCATCAACGACAAATCTACGTCAAACGACGTATTGAAATCATATTTTATCAAACGACATTAAATCCATGCACGACTCAAAATTTATCACTTAAAATTTGATATCATCATTTTAAAATTCATAGTTTTGCCAATATTTGATTTGCCAAAAACTACTTGAGACCAAACAAGACTGCTCGTATATCAGAGCAAAGCCCTGAATGTTCCGACTATCCCATAATTCATTTCGAATATTTTTTTAAACGAAAATATTGAAAACCTATAAATTTTGGATAACATCAAAGTGTGAAATGTCGAGTCATACGAAATTAATACGACCGATCTGATTAGCTAGCCTCAATTCAATTTGGAACGATTTTGTTGTGCGGGATAGTTCTCCACGCAGAAATTATTCGCGTTACGCTATCAGCAATATGAATAAATTCTTCAAAGCGCGCATAATTTAGTCCAGAACACGGCCAATTTGGCAATTTTCACACCCCAAGAACTTTCCAAAACATAAAGGGAGGAAAAATATCTTTTTACATTTGAAGTTAGGAAGTCAAAATCTTCAATGGGCATGTCGAAAACTATTATTTCGATCGGCGAAAATTGACTGACTGAATAAAAAAACCACACCGAGCAAAAATATTCCGTTTTCTTCGAAAGTCCGAACAATAAAGGGCAGTTGGAACATTCAGGGCTTTGTCCTGATACGAGCAATCTTGTTTGCATATAGCAAAGTATTAACTAAATCAAATATCATACCTCAAATCAATTGGGAACGATTTCTAAGACAGATTAAATATCTGCTACTCGTTAATAGCACAAAATATATGCTTTTAATTGGAGTGCGTACAGTAAACCGATGTGTCAGTAAATTACCAGATCAGTACACCAATTTACGTAATAATTACATCAATTACGGAATTAAAGATTTATAGAACAATTGTTTACCGAGCTAGAAGAATAATTTCAAAATTATGGTGCGAATGTCAAGAGTTATTGTTCCGACTTTCGATACGAAAGTAACGGAATATTTGTGCTCGGGGTGGGTTGTTTTTTCTTCAGACAAATTTCGACTTTTTAACTAGCCATTTTTGACGGAACTTTTTTATATCATTCGAAAGCTATTGTTGTCTTGAGCTTAAATTTGAAAAGATATTTCACCTGTGATCATTTTTCGTAAAGTTATGAGGGTTTAAAGATTGCCATTTTGGTCATTTTGACCAATTTGGTACAATTAACGCGCGATATAATTCGCGCTCTTAACGCGTAAGCGGAGATTTAACCCGTCTGAGAAATCGTTTCAAATTGGTTCAAAGATTTTGTTACAAGGAGCGAAATCTATTGTTTTGTATTTTATATGGCGTGTGGGGGGGATGATTTTCATAGAAAAATTTTCAAATTTTAGAAAAGTTGTTCATTTCATTTTATTTTATTTCAATCAATTTTTTTATGTTGTTTATGTTATTACTGCTCCATGAACGTTAAAAGGCAGTCGGAACTTTCAGGGCTTCGCCCTGATACGAGCGTTTTTGTTTTTATTCCTTTTTGATTCATTTTGTTTTGAAAAAATTTGTCATTTTGTAAAAATCTCAGTTTTTAGCAAAAGGATTACGTAATTAAATCATGAATTTTCGGTTTACTGATACGTCGATTTACTGATCTTCCACCGCTTAATTATCCCAAATTGGCCAAATTGTCAATCTTCAACCCCCATAAATTTATGAAAATAATCAAAGGCAAAATATTTTTTCAAATCTGAGCTCAGGACAACAAAACCTTTCGGTTGATATAATGAAAGCCGTCAAAAATGGCTAGTAAAAAGTTGAAAACTGTTTGAGGAAAAAACCACCCGGGCACAAATATTTCGTCACTTTCTTCGAAAGTCGGAACAAAAACATTTAGCAGTTACGTCGGTTAAGTTTCGCTGAAGGAAATTTTTAACGGTTGGGACCTTACACAAAAATGTATGATAAGCTAACAGTTTTTGCCTACTTTCATGAAATACACAACACACTTCAGCGCGTTTGAATTCTGTTTAAAGTATTGAGTTTTGTTTACCCGCGAACTTTCTCGACACCTGTAAATCCTATTTTGGTTTAAAAAAAAGGTTGACTTTGGAAGGAAACTTTTGAAAAGAATGGTAATTTGGTAGAATAAACTCACATGTGCAATGAGTCACACTAGTTGCTGGGGCTGTGGATGCCCCTCCAGATCCATCGCACTGACTCACCAGTTCAATGGTGTACTCACAGCCTGGATCCAGTCCAGAAGCGAAGTTGATCTCAGTCACTGGACTAGGGTCCGACTCCATGATTGTGGGAGTCACCGGACACAACCCCGAAGGGTTTCCAGCAGTGACAGTCGCATTGATGCGATCGTAAGTTCCAGAGACAGTGATGCCGGTGATTTTGAAAGAGTTGAAAGTCTCAGTATTTTGCGAGGTGCCACCTTGTACGGAGTTCGGATCTGAAAAAAAAACAATCAAAAACTGACAAACAAGGATATCCGGTGGCACACAACGTTCTGACCACAGTACTTCAAGTAAAAAAAAAAATAAGAGAACAAATAATAAATTTGTTTCGGGTCAATTTCACCACACAGAGACGAAATTTTCGTTTCTGTTATCCGAGTTACGACTAATAAGTCGTGAACATCACACCATACTTGACTACCTACGAGCTTTTTCTGAGAAAAAAAGCGGAATCTAATCCAGAGTTCTTTCCGTCTAGGTACAGAGACTCGGTCGGAACAAAAATGAGGAGTTTTTCGATTTAATTCACCGATTTAATTCACCTTAAGTGCCACCTCTGATTCCCCTGTCATCAAATGCCTTTTTCGATCCTTACTTTGAAAAATTGACTTAAAATCAATTACTGAGCAATTGCCCGGTAAAATTGCAAATGTCTTAAGAAACAAATGATTGCATACAAAGCAAAAGGCTGAAGTGGCGGAAAGTTCAAATAAGAATGAACATTAGAAAAACTTACTGGATAAATGAAAAAAAGCCTCGAAATTGAAAAAAAAATCTATGAAAAATGCGAAAGAACACCTAATTCTGTCATTTTTGTGCGCGAGATAGACCCAAAACTTCAACAAACGTACTTGTAAAAACACCAGTGACAGTTGTACTGTTACTGTACAAGCCATTCTCCACTGCATAGAGAGTGTACTCGTACTCCGTGCATGGACTCAGACCAGTGACAGCGTGTGAGGTCTCAGTTACTGTGGCATTTGTGCAGGGACCTCCCGCTGGCCCGAAACACAGAAGATACGAGTCCGGATTCGGGTTCAGGTCAAAGGTGAAGGTCAGCGACTCGTTAGTAGCCGCAATGTTGCTCACAACAGGAGGAGGAGGCCCTAAATAAATTGGTCATTATTGACGACAAACTCTAAACTCAAAAACCCTCATGTTTCCAAATCCTCTTTCTTCCTTGTGGAGAGTATTACTTCACGAGCTGCGATCTCTTTAACTACTTCCTTTTGCAAAAGCGGGGAAACTCGTTACTGCAAAAATCGCATAGGCTTAACCATTGATTTATGTGTTTATAGGTGTGCCTATTCGTTTATAAGTTTATAGGTGTGCTTATGTGAAGTACCATAGGGGCTGGATAAAGGGGGTAGTCGAATAGATCTCTCAAGTTACCTAGCTCTTAAACTAAAAAGGACACATTTACGCAATTGATTCGTGTTTGTATGGAATTTTTCATTGTTGAGATTAATAATTCGACCTTGAAAGCTGATACTAAGCAATCACATTGAAGCAATATTTTGCAGTCGAAAACAATAGGAATCAGAACATAGCTATAAGTTTGATATATATTATTGAACCAGGGTATTTAACCTAATTCCAACGAAGGAAGAGCAAACGGAAGAGCACATTGTACTCAACTACTTAAGTTTTTTTGATCGCGGACAAATTAAAAGTTCACCGAACATTTTTCAACACAATTTTTTGTGCCATTTTTCACGGTTTCATTTTCATACGAATAGAAAGTGAGAACGCACTCGGACAGAGAGTGAAGTTTTTCTTGTCTCCTTTGATCACATCACTGGCAGGAGCATTTCCACAGTCTAATTCCGCTTGAATAGAGAAATCCTTGCACGTCCTAGCAACCAGGGGTCGAGTCCCACTCGTGGCAGTGAGTGTTGCACTGTTAGTTCCATCGATGTCTGTGACGTAATACCTTGTGGCAGCTGGGGTGTTTGCCGTGAAGTCGAACGCCCCCACTGTTTGGGTGGTGCCTGATGAGTCTTGGGTTGGCATGGGGGTGGAGGGTGCTAAAATTATGAGTCAACATATCATCATGTAACTAAAAATGAAATGCTATTAATATTGGCACATACATCACTTTTTGCATTCTGTTTACAGCACAACCAAACGAAGCCATGAGCTTAACTTTCGAGCAACTGATTAAAAAGAACGAAAAACTATTGTATAGCTCACTTGTCGCCTAGACCCGGTGAAGTTACACAATAACAATCGCTAACTTAATTGATAATTTCTGATTGAATTATGAAGCACTTGAGTCTTATTGAGAAAAGAGATAAGTACTCATTCAACTTAAATTTTAAACTTTTATCTATTGAATGGTTTATTTTACAGCTAAACTAACCGAATAAATTAAACCTACCGGTGCAGAAAAATTTCAGAGTCGGAGTTGCCGACGCCTTGTCTCCAGATCCACACTTGTGTATAAAGGACACGTTCCACAGACATCCCGCTTGCATTCCCGTTAGATCCGCAAACGTGTCACCCGCATTGATAGTCGTGGTAGGAGTGGCACCACATCCTGCGTCAGCGCTGACTGCTTCTAAGGTCAACTTATCCCAGTCCTCCACGGTAGAGAAAGTATCCAGTCGCATTGTGGTTTGAGTGACGTCATTCTGTGCAATGCCCGTAGTGACGACGTCAACTGGGTCTGAATCACAGTATTTACTATTGGAAACACCAGGAACTAGCCAACTAATGTTAATGACCAATTGAAACAAAATGGGTCGCAAAATCAAAATTAGTCTGGATACCAATTTTCAGACCGATGCTCTAAATTGCTGTGAATAGTCATAAGTTTAAGACCAGCTTTTCTCTACACTGAGGAAACTAAATAGGAAACAAATACAGAACAACTATAATGGGAAGTTAAAAGTGAATGAGCTGACTGGTGGTGATGTTGATGCTGTCGCTGGCGCCTTCACACCCATGGTAGTCTGGGAATATCTCCACAGTGTACGTTTTGCATGCAGCGATGCCAGTGGTGATGCTGTCGGTTGTGTCTGTGTTCGCCGGCTGGGGCGACTGCGGAGTGGGTGCCCCGGCTGAGGTGGCGTCCTTGTACGTCATTCGCCTTCACACAGATTCAAAAATAAGAAAAGGACAAAACTATGTCTTTAAGTAAAGACTACCGTAAATTATACTTATCAAATCAGAACAAGTATAATTATAAACCAGTATTTAACAAAAAAATTCAAACCCAAAAATCTTGACCCCATACCAATAATAATAAAACTTTAATCTTGTAGAAAAAATTTAATCTTTAATCTTGTAGATTTTAATTTTATCTTAAGTAAAGTTTAGGCTAATAATAATAAGTCTGGGGATGTTTTTGTATCATACCATATAGTATATTCTAATAGCCGGACCCAAGAGCTATTCGCACCACTTGCTATCGTTTAACTGTCTTTCTGAGGTTTTACGCAACCGAGGAATTACACGTTATTTTGAACTTAAGGAAATCCAGTGTTCGCGAATAGAGTGAGCTCAGATGACGGCTGACACGACTAATCTGGTTAGTATCTTAAAGTTGAAGAAGTTTAATAAAAACAGTTAGTTCAAGGTTAAAAATTTTCAATCAAATTGAGTTGTTTTAAATGAGTTGTCTCTTTCTCAGATTGCCGAAAAAAATTAAAAATCTCCAAGAGACTGAATTGATACTAATTTTGATTTTTGAGAAGGCGCTCATTTTTTTTCAAAACAGCACACAATATATCCAAAAGACTTTAATTAAAGAGTGTAAATAATGAAAAACAAAAAATTGCATGAAGTTGAGTTCAAAAAGATGTAAGCAATGCTTCTATATATATTTCAAGCGTCTTAAAGTTCCTGTTGATAAGTTTTATTCATTTTAATTACAGAAATGGGGCGAATTTAGGAAACCGGGTAGAATTGGGGCGAGGTATGACTGCGAACATGCAATTAGACGTCTCACCAGGCAGTGATGGTGGATCCGACGGTGAAATCGACGTCGATTTGGGTACTGGTGGTGGTTTTCTCCGTTATTGTTGCTCCACTAGGACCTAAAAATGAAAAATATGAAGGCATTTTATTCAAACTAACTGAATGCATTGAGCGACTTGTCAAAACCGCCAAACTAACACCATGCAAAACTATGAAATGTTTTCCATTTTTGCAGCAATATCAAAAGAATGGTGCACAATCGGTTTTTTGAGAAGAGGTGGTGTGGGAATGTTCGAAAAAAGGCCAATTGGTTTTTAGAACGGGTATTTTAATTTTAGAACGGGCTAAAATGTCTCCCAAATTTCGCTTCAATTGACGTTAAAAACAGCCAACAGAAATTTGAACATAGCCATCAGACAGTTGGAAAAAAGACAACACAAAATACGGAAAACATTACTTGTTTTTTGAAAAACTCCAAATTTCGACGTTCAAAATAAAAAAAGATATGGCCTTAAAGCTCTCGGAATTTCAAGAACACTTTATGATTGACACTTTTAACTAGATCAATAGGTAAAGTTTTTTTGATAAGCGTAGTTTGCTTTCTTTTTAGCAATAAAAATGAAATAAAGATTGAGAAAATTGAGTCAAATCGCAAAATTAAGCTTTAAAATTCGAGCTTAGAAGAATATAATGGGCCATTTAATTTGCCTCACGTCAATTTGGAAATATTTTGAGAGCGAAACAAAACTGATTTTCGTTCAATCGTTTAGCGGCAAAGATACGTTGTTCTACTTGCGCACATTTGGCTAAACTTGCCAACAATTTTCAAACCACCATAACTTAGTCGTAAATGATTGCAAGTGAATTTTTTCACATTATAACTTGAGAAGAAGATATCATCATTGAACATAAAAACACTCGCCTTTCAAATCTGTTGTTCTTATCTTCGGAAAAAGCGCTTGGAAAAAAGTTGGACGCAGCGGCAAAACAGAGTTACGCACCACTTGTAAGACAACACAAATTTAGCATGACAAACTAGCAGTCCAAACTAGCGAGACAAAAAACCCTAAGTAAAAAAAAACTTGGAAAATGTCAAGAAAAGCTAGATCTACCAAAATTTGTATATTCTTGCTTTAGATGAAGATCACTTTTTTAAAAAAACCATGACAATTAGGAAAATTGAATGTTGAAATTGCATCGAAATAAAACGGTAACAATTTGTCGAAACAAAACGGTAAGAAAATGTTTTCATAGAAAACTTTACTTACAAACAATAATTAATACCGCTTCAAAAAACTCACACATATATGAAACTTGTTTCCCTCATTCATCAAGTTAATTTAATGCCACCTAACCTAATAGATATAAACGGAACAAATTTTAAAGCAGAGTAAACAAAGCAAACAAAAAACAAAATTATACCGAAACTAAAATAGTACATTTAAACCAGTCTATAACACAAATGAGGAAAAAAGTGTACTTAAAATGCAAACATGTTCAAAATAGGTCTGTTGGTTGACCATCATTGAATCTTTTGGTTGCAGTTTTGAGAAAATGATTCAAAGGAAAATAAACTTAATTTCAAAAATTAAAAAAGTAAAACAATTACCTCCACCGTTGGGGCTTAGGAAATGGCATTAGGGATTCCACAAGAAAGTTGAACTTTCAAAAAAAGTCCGTTTACGGGAAATAAATCGACAAAAATGAGTATACGGTCAGTAGTCCGCAAAAGTAGAATATTTAAACTTAAAAAAAAAAACAGGTCCCCGCCGGATTCGAGCAAAAAGCCTTTGTCGTCACAAGCAGGTTTGTTATCCTACGCCAGATTCGCTAGATGGTGGCTTAATTTTGAATATCTTATTATCATCTCCGAAATCTTAAGAATTATGTCTTTAACGAGGGAAAGAAGTCTGAGCAAGGGTAAAAAGTTCCCATGAACTCAAAGAAAATAAAACTAGAAAAAAAAACTTTCCTAAAGATTTGCAATTTCACAAAACTAGAAAACAATGGGTAAATAGGTCGTTTTTTAGTCCACTAGAAAATCTAAAATTTCATATCTCTTTTCGATATTTAAATTCATTCATGTTTCTTCGCATCACTCGCTTTTTCGAAATTGGAAAGCGTATTTCGCCTTTTTCTTAGAAAGTGAAGTTGATTTCGAACTTATCAAAAGTCAAATCGTAAAAATACAAATTTGAGCGTGATTTTACTTGAAAAAACCGTATATCGAATACTCTTATATGAAGTCTGTACCTTATAACAGTTTCCTCCTTTTTCCTATAGGGGGGCTAAGATCTTTTATTTTAACTCAATAAGAACAGGATCAGATATCTGCACCCACCTGTGATGAACTCGGCTTGGCTGGCTACACTAGTGACCACTTGGGCTGGTCCAGGTGTGCCACAGGTGAAGAATGACTGCACATTGTACGTGTAGTTAGTGGAGGCAGTCAGTCCTGTAGATTGGGTGTAGGGCGAAGTCTGGGTAATGTAGCCTCCTGCATCACCAGTACGCAACACCTAGAACAACAACACCTAGTATCATCATCACATAGTACTAACAACAATACCTATGACAAACAACGCCCAGTACTAACATCACTCGCTTCTAACAGCAACTAAAACTAAAAAAGGGTTTCCACAAATTTTACTAGCAAGACTTTGTCATGGGACATCAAAATTTTGGGTCCTCAGAAATAGGATTTTGTATGAGACACTGGCCTCAAAATTGGGCTGTAATGGAGTAATAACATGTTTCCAGATTGCGCAGGAAAACTGCATAAAAGGACACTTTGAGAGCTAAAGCATTCATCTCAAAATGAATGAAAGTTTGTTCAAGGTACGATACAAACTTGAAAGCTTTATTTCTGGATCAGAATTGATTTTGCAAGCGTTATTTGATCTGAAAATTATAACTTATTCAAAACAAGACTGCTCGAATGAGGGCAGAGCCTGGAATGTTTCAACTGTCGTTTAAATTAAATGAAAAGTGATAAAATAATCAGAAAAAAATTCAAAAAAAAAACGTTCTTCATTTTATCCTCATGTCACGCTATGTAAAGACGTTATTTGAGTCTGATAATGCATCAATATGAGCAAATTGCTTGCCTCAATTCAATTTGAAACAATTTGAATCGCCGCTCAAGCTTAAATAGCACCAAATTGGCAGTTTTCAAATCCCCATAGTTTAACGAAAAAAATCATAACTAAAACATATTATTTTGAAAAAACTGAGCTCAAGAAATCATTATTTTATCAGTCACTTTCATCCGAGCACAAACATTCCGTCACTTTCTTTGAAAGTCGGAACAAATAAATACCTCAAGTCATATTTAAACGGTTTCTAAGCTTATTCTAAAAGATTAAATCGCCGCTTACTCTTTAGCCGAACGAAATATATAGCACGTCAATTGTCACAAAAATAGCCAAAATGACCATTTTTACACCGCAATGGCTTTACAAAAACTTATCACAGGTGAAATCTCCTTTTAAATTTCACCGACCCTTCTTTCATCGAAATACGGAACTATAAAACTTTGCCCTGAAAGCTAATCTAAGCTCATCGAAGAAACAATCATGACTATTTTTTTGATTAAAAAAACTCAGTTTGCCAACCCAAGTTGCAAAAACTTGATCAATAAATATTTTTTATTATGCTGGGAAATATCAAACGTAAAATCCACTTAAATCAAATTTGAGTGAGAAGAAATTTTTTGACTTTTTCATAAAATCATCACGCGTCTTCTCTAACCTGGAATGACTGGGCAGGGGTTTTGGTTACAGGGTCCCAACTCATTTTGATAGAGTTAGCCGCACATGCAGTGAGGTCCTGCTTGAACCCTGTTGGAGGAGCCGGCTCTAAAAAAGGGAACATGTTAAAATGCAGACTTCGAAAACAGGTCTGAGATGTCATCAATAATAACTAGTTTGAATCATAGTGGCCGATGTAAATAGTTCTGATAACTTACCTGTGCAGTACTTCTGGACGTACACCGCAGCTGACTCGTAATTCCTGCACTTGGCTTTCAACTCAACAGTGTACTCGCACCCCTCAGCCAGACCTGTCATGTTGATATTACTAGTACCACCCGAACTGAATGTCCCTGCGGCACCCCCTGGCACGGGACAAGAGGCGTGGGACCCAGCAGTTATTTTGGCCTCTAGGTCATCCGCATTGTTTCCGCCCATTCCGATTCCGTTGATGTATATGTACACGTCGCTGTGGTCCGCTTGAGCGCCCCCTCCGACCACGTTGTCCGGGGCTAAATTGATAAAATAAATTTGAGTATTAAATCATAATCATATGCTTCAGTTGAAGGAAATTCAAAGAAGCCTATATGTTGCTGGGCAAATTAAGAACAAGTTTGCACTATAGTTGCATATAATACAAGGATAGTAGCCGAGCGTATACAGTAGACGAGTCCGTCCCGGCGGGTTCAGCGCAGGTTCGAATCCCGCCTAGGTTATTTCCTTTCTAAACCTCAAATATGCGCCGCACTTGACGGGGCACAAACTTACGCCTCGTAAACCCCCCCCCAAAAAAAAACCTTTCTGTTTTATTTAGCTGTTTAAATCAGTTCTAAAAATGGCCTTGGCAATCATTGGAACTCGCAACATTCATAAAATTCTACGCAATCATTGAAACTCGCAGGTTTTTGTCGCTAACACTTGTACGACAAGTATTGTGTGGTCAGACAACTTCTTTGGAGTTGAGAAAGAACTTCTGCATTGCATTACGAGGCCAAACTGTGCATTCTCTGCATTGTAAGCGGAATCCGCAACAGGCCAAAATTAGATTTGTCGCGGAATCCGCAACATTGCTACTTTTCTTTGATCTTCTATGCTGTTTGGGATTCCACAAACAAATACCTAAATCATTGTACCGCTCAAAATCGATCGAAAAACAGGCAAATTTGCTGAATCCGCAACTGTATTTGCGGAATCCAGAACAGTTTGTGGAAACCACAAATGATAAAATATTTGGAATCCGCAAATTGTAAGTGGAATCCGCAAATTGTAAGTAGAATCCGCATTTTGTTTGCGGATTCCCTTTACATATATTTATTTGTGTGGTAGTCTTTAAAATTATATTTTTTAAATACGTGATTTGATTTCACTAGAAAAAAAATTTGCCAAAATAGAAATTTAAAAGAATAGATCAGTGTTTGGGAGTAATGGAATCCCAATTACTGACCAGTATTTGGGATCGATGAAATCCCAAATACTGAACTAATTTGACGATTTGGGAAATTTAAATGACTAGAACAGAAATTTACTAGAACAGAAACTTACTAGAATAGATCAGTGTTTGGGATTAACGGAATCCCAAATACTGACCAGTATTTGGGATCGATGAAATCCCAAATACTGAACTTTTCGACGATTTGCTATGCGTTGGGTTTCTAGTCACTCACAGCCTAATGACTCCAAATAATGGATAAAATCCATATTTATTCCACATTATTGCGGTTTTTGGGATTCCATCAATCCCAAATAGTGAACAGTATTTGGGATCGATAGAATCCCAAAAACTGACCTCATTTGGCGGCATGCTGTGTGTTGTGTTTCCAGACACTCTCATTCCAATGACTACAATTACTGTATTTACTCGGCGCTATGCTTCCAAAATCAGTATTTGGGATTGACGCAATCCCAAATACTGACCTAATTTGTCGATATGCTGTGTGTTCCATACACTCTCAACTCAATGACTCGAATATTGAAATTATTCGGTGTTGTGTTTCCAAAATACTAAAAACTGACCTCCACCGATTTAGTTAACCAATGTTTAGAGACTTGTTCTTGGATTCCGCTGACAATGGTTAAATGTTTGCTTTTAAATTCCGCATTTCTAGAGATAAGAATTCCAGCTCATCTTTTAATTATTCATATGCAAGTTCAGTATTGAACAAACTTCAGAATCCACTTACAGTTTGCGGAATCCACTTACATTTGCAGATTCCGCTTCCATTTTGCGGAATCCACTTACAGTTGCGAAATCCAGAACAACTAGCTATATTTGCTTGTTGCAGAATCCGCAACAAAACAAATGTGCCGACAAAATTTAAGTTACAGGTATATGTATGCGGAATCCACTGAAATGTTGTTTGTGGAATCCACTTACGTTTTGGAACATAGACACAAAATTGTGCTCCTATCCAGTGCACAGTTTGGCCTCGTAATGTGCGTACAAAGTTGAAACAGACAGGCTCCCGCCTTGTTAGTGCACAGTTGGGTCTTGGAAAAGGGTAGTGCGCAGTTGCAAACGCGTTTTCTACGCAATTATTGGAACTCGCGATATATTGTCGCGAGGTATTGTTGACCAGGTTTTGTTTAGTTGAGCAATCATTAAATTCCCGTTCATTAATGCCTGTTGATCGCGATTCAACTGAATTGGATGCGTTAACGTCTAACCATTTTCTCTTGGCTGATTAATCTGTTGGCTTTCCTTCGCTAACACTTGATAAAAAATTTGACCACCGAAAGCGCAATGTGAGACCACAAGCTTACGCAAATACTTTTTGGCGGCGTTGGCTGAAGGAGTATTTCCCTTCCATGAACAAGCACGCAAAAAAGGGGCATGCCAATTCGAACCGCGGATTACGAACTGGTGATCGATGTAAATTTAATGTCTTTCGAGCCATTTAAAGGATGGAATTTTGGAAATTATCCGGTTTAGATGTGATAGTTATTCGGAAATACATTGTTACGTTCATCCCTATCTTTTGATCAGCACACTAGAAAAACCAGAGCTTATCAGTAGATAGTTATCATGTAGATACTTATCACGTAGATAACTAATACGTAGATTATTATCAAGATGAGATAATATTAGCATATAAAAATATTCGATAGCAATGAAACATTTGACGGTTAATTTCTATGCCATTAAACCCTTAAGGGCTCTGTTTTTTTATCAGTTTAGCTCTGTAAATCAACCATAACTCCATTTCATCTATCAACTATGAGTACTCGGCAGTACTCAAATGTCGGGACCTCCTGTTCCGCATCGCAGATCCACTTCTTCATTTTCCCTCATTTTTGACATGACTTTTTTAGAATTGATCAGAAGTTGCGACATAGATGATATTTATGAACCCCTCTCCCCATTGCGAAACAATGAAAAATGTTATTGAATCTCAATTGAAAAAAGGTACATCCACTGGCTCGCACTAATGTTTGGTTTGATCCCCACCCCAAATTCGAAATACATATTGCAAAGTACGGACTAACCAGTGGTAACATTCTCAACTGTGATTGAGTATCCGGGGATCTTCAGAGTAGCTCTCGGATTGTAATGAGGTGTGACAATGTAGTCGTAGGCAGTACAAGAGTCCAGGCCCGGGATGTCAAAGTTGGGTCCGTTTTTGTCCAGATGGTCACTCTCTCCCACCCCTGGGTTGCCTGTCTCGTAGATTTTGATGTCATAGGTCACATTCACGTCTGGGGTGTTGACAACCGCCAGGGATGTTCGGATTACAGAGGAAGTGACGCCAGCAGGAACTACAGCTGCAGTCGCGTTCTCCGGAGCTGAAAAAAAAATATGCTTTTTTTGAAAAATATCAAGGTGCTTTTATCAAGACAAAGCCCTGAAGGATGCCTTCAGGGTGCTTCAACTAAAATTAGATTCAAAATTTTGATGCTTAAAATAACTACCGACGATATGTTAACAGTTATTTCATCACTTCGTTCACTTGCAATAATTGAGAATGTTTCTTTGTTAAAAATTACGGTCAAAGTATTACCCAGAGTAAGATCTGTCTGGCTTAAGAAAAATACATATTTGAGAACCTCTTTCCCGATACAATCACCCAGTCCGTATTCTGCTGCTCTAGTTTGCAGATATTCAATACTTTACCTAGTCCTAATTAAATTTGTTGTTCAAACTTTGCTTCTGTCGTGTTTAGTTCATTTTTCACTTAAAAATTCAAGTTTTCAATACAAAATATGAAAATGAAAATGAGAATACAATGCACTGCATTAGTTGAAAACCACTAAACAACCCATATTGATAGATTTTTGAGCTCAATTATTTATGCGGTTATGTTAACATCATTTTGGGCCAACAAAGCAAAAATACTCGTTGTTTTGAGTAAACCCACCAGTGCAAACTTCCACAGCCGAAAAATCTCCCGTTACATTGTAGGATTGTGTGTTATCTGCATCGTTCACGCATTCAAACAACGCCTGCACTGTTGCATCTTTGCAGGTGGCCCCTTGTAGAGATGAGAAAGTGAGAGTTGAAGACCCCCCGTCCGCTCCCTGCAAGGCCAACCCATCGTAGCTCCCCTGGTGATTGTAGGTGAGCGCACCAGTCCACGAGATGGTAGCTTCATTGTAGAGGCGGGGCGTGTCTTGAACCACGGCGCTGGGAGGCGACGGCTCTATAAAATATCAGAAGTTAGTTAATATAAACTCAATGGAAATATTACCGAACACATTCAAAGTTGGTCGGATCTTTCCGGCTAAGAATAAAAGCTAAGAATCCCAATTGTCAGCCAAAACTCAACCTTACAGTTTTGAAAGCTTAACCATTTTCTCGAAAGATAGTTATTCGGAACAAAACTAGACGATTAGTTTTCGGAACAAAACTAGACGATTGCTGTGAAAGCTGCTCAGAATTCTCCGGCCAGAGATAGTATTAATGAAATATGAAAATAAATTACAATGCTTTGAGCTAAAACACGCACATGGTAGGCAGTAAAAAAACACGATATAAAGCAAATTAAAGCTTCCTCAAAAATGAAGTTCATAAATTAGTTGAGCATTAGTCCAAACACATCACACAGACACTTCGCTATTATCAGCCGCAATGTCTAAGATACATTTTGAATGCTGTCATATGGCGCATTTGGTAATCTTTGCTCTTCGGAACCTATCGTTTTTATTTTCAGAGCTGTTTACTCACGCGTGCAAACGTAGTGCGTAGGAACGACAGTTGCCGGGGCAGCCGGATCTCGCAGCGTACCATTGCCACTCCTGGTGTAAATTTCCCACCCGTACCTGGTCCCTGGAGAAAGACCAGTAAAAGACTGGTCAACCCCTACTGTGAAGTTTAACGAACTGGGACAGCCAACCGGATCGAGACAATCGGCATTCAGTAAATCATAAGTTTGGGTTTCCGAGGTGATTTGAAACTCGATACTTGTAGTGTTAACCGTTCCTCTCAAAAAATTGATCGCGCAATCTGCAAATCAAGACACCTTATTTTTTTAGACATTTGTCGAAAAAACTTGTGAAACTCAGGAAAATGTTCAACTTACAGGACTCCGGAACAACCAGAAGAAAAAGTAGAAGTGAAAAAGCCACTTCTGAGCTTTTAAAACGCCCCATGAGCGTTTTCAGGTGAAAATTTCTCCAACGAAAATTGAGGCTTTTTTCCTGTGGATTTTCTTGTGGATATGCAAATAAAATCAAATGTAAGACTGGTCTCAGAACAACGAATGATTCAAGAGTTTATTTACTATTTATTCGACAACAAAAAGAACTGGCAGCAAATTTACTTTTGTTCAAACTGAGTTTTAATCAAAAAGCTTCGATTCAACGTTGTAGTCAAGTTATTGGATGCCAAAAAACATATTTTAATGAGCAATCATGCGATGTTTATTATTCAACTCACTGTAAATTACGTTTGTTGCAGTTCGAATTTTTTGGCTATTTAATGAAGTCCGTTCATTATAAAAACGAGCCATAAAAAGACTTGAAGCTTTAAGTCACGCATAAATACAGTATGAAGAAATCATGATGGTTTGTTCATTTTTCGCATTTTCAGCCTTTGAATCTGTATTTTGAGCTTAAAACAAAAGACTACTTAAAAACATCGAAGAAAATCAATCAACATGAAACGAGGACCAATAAGTTACACGTACCAAGCTTTAAAAACCTCGCAGACAGGACCTGAAGCATGTAGAACTCTCATGATTAAATTTTGCAATGAACGAAGCCAACAGTTAAAATGCGTCAGCAAAAAGACTGACGCACTGAGTTTAAATCGAGTTGTTTCTAAAAACAGACTTAGAGCTAATCACATGGTAAGCTAACACACGCCACGACTCGGTGGGTGGAATTTAAATTGCATTGATTGAACACATACTCCGATTCTTTGATTAACTTTACTGACATTATATGAGAGGTGAAATTGCACTTGTTTTTCAAAATCTTGATATATCTTGAAACACTCCATGAACCAATAAACACCTGATTTTTTTCTAGTCGCAAGTTTCATTAAGCAAATAATATAATCTCAAAGCTCTCTTAACATTACAATTTAGAATTTTTGGCAAAAACTTTTAACAATAATTAAGGAACAGCAGAATAAATGAAGTTAATTTATTTTTTTTTGGTTAATCAGCCAGAGGCCTATCCCGGTGGTTTTAATTATTTAAAGTTTAGTATCATATGATTGCTGGGCACCATCACTACCGATGCGCCACAAAGCCAGTTTACTATACTGAGCCGGAATAATTAGCCGCCCGCTAAGCTACGCTATGATAAAAAATTTGGAACTTTCGTGCGCATTAATTTTCCTCTATTGGCCAAATTAGCATTTCTGGAAAAATTTATGATAGATACTTTTTTAATTAAATAACCCAACTGGAGAAAAACACATGAAGATGTAAATCTCAGATTTGGCTGAGAAATCTGATAATTAATATTTTAAATTCCACTTTTAAATTTAGAAGCCAATCGCGTTTTTCGTGACATTTACACTTTCTTTTTTTCGATAGCGGAGTTTACCTTCTTTTTAACAAAGGAAAGAAACTGAACTTAAAAAGACATCAAAGGCCATACCGCGAAAAACTAAAATTGAGCATGAACAAAATTTCAGACTTTTCCTGAAAAAAAGAGTAATCACGACCTACATAAGAGTCTAAACTACGTTCATCTACTCTTAAAACAAAGCCAACTGGCAGTTGAAAAAAAGTAACAAATGCAAGGAAACTAAAAAAAAGTGACTCAACTTTCGAAATTCAAAGAAAAAAAGTATCTGCCCTCTTTAACGCTCTTCAAATTTCATAAACATTTTAGGCTTGGTGCTTTTTTGATAAATTTAGCCCAATTCGAGAAAAGTTGATCAATATGTAAATTTTTTTTTGCTGGGAAATCTAATTTTTAAACTCCACTTTCAAAATTGCGCTTAGATAGTGGAGTTGGTCACGTTTTTGCTGTTCGGTTGTGGAGTTGGTCTTCCTCTTAACAAATCAAAAGAATTGAACTTCAAAAAAATCAAAAAACAAAGAACAAAAAATTACAATTGAGCGCAAACAAAATTAAATCAAAAGTTTTTCGTGAAACAGAAAAAAAAATAACCAAGACCTATATAAGAGTACTCATAACGTTCATTACTCTTAAAAAAAGGAAAACCAACTCGATTCTATGTTTTAGCGAACTAAGACCTCTACAAGTTGATCGTTTCACTGGACTGTTCTTAATTCGCGTAAGTTTTGCGATTTTTCAAAATTTGAAGTACAACATTGAAATTCGGCTAGCAAAAAGTTTGTTGTTGTTATGGCCGAGCTATTTGTTTTTTTTTCCGAGAAGTTTATCTCCAACGGAGGCTATTCAAGCTATGAAATTTTGAACTATTTCAAGTTAGTTTATAAACTAAATTGGTTCGCAAAAAAATTGGTTCTTCAGAAAGTTATTCAAGCCAGGAAACTTTGAAAAAATTCCAGTTAATTCACGGAGGAAGGATGGCAAAAAAGTTTTTCGGTGAAGCCTTTCGAGCTAAGATTTTTTGAGAACTTCGAGTCAGTTCATACAGCCAATTGGAATGCAAAACTTGAAAATTTTTCCAAGCAATCAGTTACAGCTGAAAAAAACTTTGAAGTATTTCAAGTTATTTCATGAAGCAAACGAGTCCGCAAAAAATGGAAATTTTTCTTAATTAGCTAACCAAGCAAAGAAAATTCGAAACATTTCAAGTTGATTTTAGACAAAAACGTTTTTTTTTCGAGAAAACAGAGTGTTCGTTCGCAAACTATTCAAGCCATGAAAAATTCAACATTTTTAAGTTATTTCATGAAGAGAATCCGATAGCGAAAAAAGTTTATTTTTCATTTAGAGTAATTCAACCGACAAAACCTAAAATATTTCAAGTTATTTCTTCAACCAAATTGTTTCGCAAACAGTGAGTTTTTTTAAGCAAGCTAATCAAGCTAAATTTCTGTTGAAGCCTTTCAAAGCACGAAACTTTGAAATATTCCAAGTTGTTTCATAGAGCGAATCAGTTTGAGAAAAAAAACAAAAGTTTTTCATAAGCAAGACATTCAAATCTACAACATTTCAAGTTAATTCATGAAGCAAACCTGCTGGCAAGAAAAAAAAATATTTCTTTTTTCAAAAAAGCCTATCGAGCGATGCAATTTTGAACAATTTTAATTTGTTTTTCAGACCGAAACGTTTTCCGAGAAGTTTAAATTTTCCTACACAAGCTGATCAAGCAAGGAAACTTTGCATTACTTCAAGTTATTTCAGATCCCGAACCGGTTCAAGAAAAGATCGTTCATCATAGGCCAGCTATTCAAGCTCTGAAGATTTGAATTATTTCAAGTTATGTTTTAAACCATCAGTTGCCAAAAAAAAGATTTTTCTTAAGCAACCTAATCAAGCCATGAAAATTGTAAATATTTCAAGCTTAACCACAAAAGAAATCGGATGGCGGGAAACTTTCTATTGAAGCCTTCCAACTGACGAAACTTTGAAATATTCCAAATTGTTTTGAAGAGCGAATCGAATTGCGCAAAAAAAACAAGTTTTCTCATAAGCCAGACTTTCAAGTTAACAACATTTCAAGTTAGTTAATGAACCAAATCGGTTGACGAAAAAGTTTCAAGCTTTTTTAAATAGGTTTATCAAGTGATGGAGTATTGAATCACTTAAAATTGCTATTTAGACTGAAACATTTTCCGAAAATTTTGAGTTTTCCTACACAAGCTATTCAAGCAATGAAACTTTGAAACTTTTTAAGTTCATTCATAAAGGAAATCGAGTAGCGAAATTTGAAGGTTTTTTTTATTGAAACCAATCGAGCGATGAAACTTTAAAATTGTTCAAGTTGTTTGTTAGACTGAATCGTTCCACGAAAAATATTTCGGAGGGAGCTAACCGAGCAATGAACTGAGATCCGGGAACTTTCTAATTTGTTTTAAGAATCGAATGGTTTCGCGAAAACTTGAAGATTTCCTCTGCAAGCTACAAGCTTATTATTTCAAATTATGTCATAGAGCAAATTGTGTTTGCAAGAGTTAAAGTTTTTTATACAAGCTATTTATTTCATGGTTTTCAAATTTTTCAAGTTGCTTTACAGACAGAATCAGCTCACAAAAAAAAACATTTTTTTTTGCTAGCCAAGCTTATCATGCTAACAACATTTTGGTTCACGAAAAGCGAATCGGTTTACAAAAATTTTAGGATTTTTTTGGCCGAAATATTCGAGCTATGAAAAATTTCAAGCTATATCAGAGACTACATCGGTTTCGATCAAGTTAAAGTTTACGTAAGCAAGATGTTCAAGCTATGAATTAGTTCAAATAACTTCTTAGATTGAATCCAATCGCAAAAATTTCAGGTTTTTCTAAGCAAGCTATGAAACTTGGAGGGAATCAGTTCACAAAACGTGAAAGTTTTCTCAGGCAAGCTAATCAAGCTAACAGAACTTCGAGGTATGTCAAGTTGTTTCATGAAGCAAATCGGTTCACAAAAAAATAGGTTTTTCTTAGGCAAGAAACTCAAACTATGAAAAATTTCAAGTTCTCTCATAGACCGATAAGTTCGCGAAACAATAAAATTTTTGAGCAAGCTAATCAAGCTATGAAACTATGAAATATTTAATGTTGCTTTATAAAGCGGATCGGTTCATGACAAATTGAGTTTTTTAATCAAGCCATTGAAGCTATGAAAAATGGAAAAATTTCAAGTTCTGGCATAGACCAAATCGATTTGCGAAAAAAAATGTGTTTCTCTAATAAGCTATTTCAGCGATGGAAAAATTAAGTGAATCGCTCTGCCAAAAGTTAGTTTTCTTAAGTTTTGTGGATGATGTTTTCAGCTGATTCTTTTCAGACTGAAATAAAAACTAAAACTTTAAATTGTGGACAAAAAAAGGGGCAGATACTGTCTAGCCTTGAAGTTGAAACGAGTGTATTTTTTTAAAGAGTGTCGAACTTTTTCATAAATCCTTAAAAGCGGAAAAGCCTTAGCAGATACACTTTGGGCCGAAATTTTTTAAATATTAAGTACCCCACACCCTAGAACAAAACAAACACAAATTTCATTCACGCGTCAAACAAAATAATATGCTAGTAGCCGATATAATATTACCCAAAGCCTATTGAGCCGAAAAAACGAAAATAAGAAAACAAAGCCGAAAAAAAATTCAAGACTAATAAAAAGTTATTACGCCCCTCTCAAACTCACAACACATGAACAGCTCATAAAATGACGCAAAATGAGGCAACTATGCCGATGTAATATAAGCCAAAACCTACCCAGCCGAAAAAAATGATAAAAGTCTGAAATTTTCTAAAATTTTCAAGACTAATGCAAAGTTGTTAAGTCCAACTCGCCCTCAGAACATAGACACGCACACAAAAATAATTTTTGCGCATCAAAATTTTGCCATTGAATTCATATAAAATAGACTGAAATTTTTCAAGCTGGAAAAAAGCCGAAAAAAACTGATGTCACGAAAAAACTGAACTATAATTTCTTTTAAGATTTTAAGCATTTTGTGCAGTCCATAGGTGAGCATAAAAAAATGGTTGACTTGAAACTACTCGAAATCAAGCCACTGAGCCGATATAAAATAAGCCGAAACCTATTCAGCCGGAAAAAATGAAAAAAAGTTCACGCAGAGGCATACACGAGCAAAAAAAAATGAACGATAACGCGACTGGGAAAAAATGAATGCCTAAAACTTTGGGTCTACAAAACTTCTTAAGTGAAGCAAGCCAATTATGACGCATTAGCAGTTCTAGTCAATTTGAAGAAAAAAAAAGAAATTTACCAACTAACAGGCCTCAATTTATAGAGCGGACGGGACCCATTTTAATTAGTGGACGAAAATGTTCATTAAAAACATCAGATTCTGCCCAGGTTCGAATCCTCTTATTTTGTTGCGGGTCTCCTTCCCGGCCTCTATGCTACAGATCCATGATACCTTGAAGCTAAAAGGCTATTTGTAGTGTTGATATCCTTAGCACTCGCTGGAATTTATAGCTAGTGAACACTAACATTTGAACACTCATATTTGAAATGAACACTAATATAATGGCTTTAATTAATAGTTGGTGAACACTAACCTTTGTAACAGGAGTGAGGCTGCTCTTTGCAACCACAAACGAGGAAAATGCAAAAAAAATATCTCTAAACAGGCTAAACACGTTCTCACATCTGCTTCATGACCGCTTGTAATTTTTGGCTACCAATAAAGCAGCTGCAGTTTCTATCAAATTGCCAATGCGATGCAGGAAAAACTCGACCAAAAAACGGTAACTATTTCAATGTTCCGGATTTGGATATCCTACCGGTTGTTTAGGCTTTCAACTTTCTCGCAATCGCGGGCTGAACGCTTGGATGAAAAACTAGCTGCCCAGCTATTGCTAGATTCATGTTTTAATATTTTGATCATTCTTTCGAAGGTTTCAAAAATGGACTTAATGCAAAACCCTAGTGATTTTTCTGATTAAGTGGTTAATAAGCTGCATTTTTAAAGAAAAAACTTCTAATCGATCTTTCAACTGAATTCTTTTTCTCAGACTTGGCTTCAGAAAGTTTCGAAAAAAAATTGAAAAGATTCCAAATACGATCAAAATTGAAAAAGTTGGCTTATCCTAAAATCACAAAATTTCCTCTATTAAAGCGTGGGAAAAACCTCGTATGCAAGGAAGATTTCCACGCCTTGATTTTATGATTGAATCCTTAATATGGGCTTTAGCTAGTAGCTTTCGAGAACAGTGATGAAACTTCTTTCAAAAAACGGTAAAAACTTCAAAAAATGGATTTTTCCGGTGTCCATGTCGACTTTTCTACAAAACAAATAAGGCAAAACAGATTACACAGAAAAAATCTCAGCACGATGGATGTTAGTTTGAATGAACTGTCAACCTCAGAATCAATAAGTTAGTTTTTGAAGAAAAAAAGAAATTTCTAAAAACGGACAAAGTTTCAAAAAATGTACATTTTCGAAGGCCATATTTTTTCAAAACGCAGGGCAAAGGCGCTTGCGCAAGGAAAATTTGCATACCACATTTTTTTCTGGTTGAACTCTTATTATCCGATTTGGCAGGGTAGTTTTTGAGAAGAAAAAAAATAAATTAAAAATTAACATAAATGTCAAAAAATGGGCTTGTTTAAGGCCATATCTTTTTTCTTCCAAATTTAGGGAATAGCCGTTTGAGAAAGAGAGATCCTAATGATTAGTTCTTTAGTTTAAGCGTTCATCTCAGATTTATGCATTTATTATTTGAGAAAATGATCAAACTAAAAATCAAATAAGTCAAAAATCCCCCTACTGAAAATTTCAAAAGCCGTAAAACGTGGTGTAAGCTCAAAATAGACTAGCAACATATGCAGGCACATAGAATAGCCGCCAGTTTTTCCAATGAAATCATTGTTTTGAAAGTTGGTTCAGTAGTTTTTGAGCAAAAAAAAATTGCGAAAAGTTTAAAATTTTTCCACAGGGTCGCAAAAAAAAATTAACAAATCCATACATTTTCATAACACCTGTTGTTTTCAAACAGGAGCTAACACTAGCCAAAAATTAACCAGCAATATATGCTAATAATTTAGCTATGCTTAAAAATGATTAAGTTGAAATATACCATTAGTGCCACTACTTAGCACTTTTATTTGCGAATTAGGTTGGAAAATTTTTTTTCGTAATAATACACTTTGCTTCGCTAGTGTAAACACAATTTCGAAATGAACACTAATATTTGCGACTTAGGTTGGGAAAAAAAGAGTTCATACTATCACACAAGCTATGCTTGGTTAAACAAATTGATTTGGAAAAATCATAACCAATCTAAAAAGCAAATTTCGAAAAGGACAGATAATACGCAACAACATACGCAATAACATTAGAAATAACACACGCAACCATGCTTAATATTTGCAACCAAGAGTAGTACGAAGAGGTGAAGGAGTCCAGAATTGAGTCCTGTGGACAAAGTTGTTTACGGGAAAAAAGTTTAGTACCCGATTGCAAAAACCCTGCTTATTGCAAAGGTGCTTAGAATTCATTGGTCGAATTTTATTGATTTTTATTTTGTTTAAAAAACAATAGATTTTAAATGCATTTTGCTTGATTATTTTCGAATTTTATTAAGAGTGATAATGAAAATGCAATATCTTCTAGTATTATCCATTGACCCCAGTGAGAGATGCAATTCGACAAAAAGCAATCTAGTGTCGCATCAAAAACGCTGCTACAATATTAAAAAGACCGCCGATAAAGACCTTCCTGAAGCTTCGACTTCAGCTGATGAAATCTTTAGGTAAAAACGATGTGAACTCGATTTATTCTACGCTCGCAAATCGCAGAGAGAGAGAGAGAGAGAGAGAGAGAGAGAGAGAGAGAGAAGAGAGAGAGAGAGAGAGAGGGGAGAGAGAGAGAGAGAGAGAAAGCAATAACGAACAGCCTTGGTTACTGAGTTCTTGCGCATAGCCTGTTCTCCAACCATTTATAGCACTCGTTGTGCTCAGCAACTTGGAGTTCCCAGATCGAGAGACAGAGAGACCATTCCTTCTCAGTATGAACTAATACAGTAGTTCCAGAAAAACGAACCCTTAGGAGAGCAATCAAGCTGCCAGTCGCTGGCTAGAAAAATCAGTCGGAGAGTTTTACGTTAGTTTCTACTGTCTGAATATCATCTGCAATCTTAGTTTCATGTCAGACTTTAGAGTTTTTTTGATTGAGATGATGTTGCGTCGTTTCTCTTTGACAAGTGTGGATGTTGTGAAATCATTCTGCTTCACAGTAAGACCTCATCTTGCAACTTTCAGACTCCACTACAGTGAAACGAAGGGATTGCTGTTATGTGAAAAAAGTGCCATAAACTAATTGCAATTTCTGAAGAAATCAAGCCCTCGATTTTTGAGTTTTTTCGATCTAAGCAGTTAGAGGCCTGGACCGAAGGTTATTTCAGCTTAACTAAGCTACGATGAAATTGCAAAAGCGCAACTTAGGTTGCAAACTAAAGCACACGTGCAAAATTCTAACCGGAAACCTTCAGCTTGCTAGCAATCATCCCGCTCACTAAAATGGCCGCCTGAATAGTTTCACATTTGCCATCATACTAACCAGTGCAGAGGTAGACATTGGGCGTAGAGGAAGGCATGGGGGAGAATCCAGTGCCCCCGTTGTGGCCATACATCATGTAGCAATATCGAGTGCCAGGGTTCAGACCAGTCAGCTGGTTCACATTTGTGGCCACTGGACCCAAACTAGGGCAGGGACTTGGGTCGATGCAAATGGCCATGTATTCGTCAGTGTAGGTTGAAGATGTGATCCGGAATCGGATGTCTGTAGTGTTCTGGCCCAGAGGTGTCACTGAGATGTTTCCCTCTGAAACATCAGAAAAAAATCTAGGCGTATTTTGCATATCATACAGTCATATCTTCTCACCTTATACCTTCTTACTTATGAGAAGTTAATTCAATCAAAACTTTCACTATCGAGCACACATTATCCTTAACTTTCATGAAAATTTCCCAATAAAACTTGAAGCATATCTTCTGATTTGAAATAAATTTGAATCGTACCAGAAATTTCAGCATGCATGGCTTCAGATAGCCGAAGACGAAGCAATCGGTAGATATCAACAGAAATGTATAATTTACCAATTTAGAACTTTCACGAAAAAACAAATGGATCAAAAACGCTTAATTTAAACGAAGTAAAGTAAGAACTCTTTTTTGTAACCTAATTAGGACCTCATCTCTTGCATTTTGAATTGCATATACTAGATCACTACTAAACATTTCTAATTTCCTGTCATATTTAATCTCACTAAATCCTAAGTTATTAATGAGTAGTACATGCAGTGCCTTTCGAGTGAGTCGAGAAAATCTGAAGTTTATTGGATTAGAAGAAACACTAACGTCGAATCAAAATCGATAAAGCATGGAAGCTAGTATGCGAAAAGTTGTGTCACTGAAAATAACATCACGAATCTGAAAAGTTTATCTGAAAAAAAAACGACACCAAGAACATTCGGGTATTCGAGTATGTAATTCAAACGCGAGCAAATTTAATCGGCTTGAAGAGGAATGGCAGCCGGATTCAATCAACATGGACACGGGGCGTCCAAATTCATTTTACCTGGAAAGGAGAGTCAATAGTGCGTCTTATTAGCGGTTTATACGAAGGAGTCAACTATTGGGTCATACAATGATTGACGTTAACTCATGTTTCCAAAGCGTTTTTGACCAATCTGTTATCACTGAAGGCTCCTGAAAAAAAAACATGTGCTATCAACTCCGTTCGAAATGTCTCTCTTTTGTTATCAAAACCACGTTCCTTGAAAAACATCAAGAAGACCTAAAAGCCTTAATTAGTAGTCTCGAAAATCGGCTCAATGTTTCACGTATAACTGAGTCATGGCTGCATGAACATGACGACCCAAATCAGTACGGTTTAACAGGTTTGAACAGATGTAAACCTCAGCGATATATTTGCAATCCCCGTGGACATTAAGAGTGATCAAATTAGTATAATAACAGTCTATGTTAAAGAAAGAAAGAAAGGAAGAAAGAATATATTTTTCCTTTTATAAACAATATATCAGCATAATTAAATTTACCACATTTAAAGCAGGAACGGATAGACAACGGGACCTGTTGGTCCACTAAAAGTCTACCCTTCTATTCAAATGAAACATCTCTAATGAAACAAATCAAATTAAACAACACGAGCAAATATATTTTTATTTAAATACAAAAGCTACAGCTCGTGAAAAAAAAAATTTATATCTATTTATAAATTTATGTTGACATTAACTAACTACTGAACTTAACAGTACTAAACTTAACAATACTTCCAGGGCGCTGTAATATTATATGTATAATTTTTTTTCCAAGTTTTTCAAAAAAAAATTAGTGAGAAAATCCAAAAAAAATCAAAAAACCTCGATATCTCGAAAACTAGAAAAATTTGGGAGGTCATTTTTTACACAAAAAAGCTGATATATAGCTGGTAGTCCTGTAGCATGCAACCAACGGGTATGGGTTTTAAATTTTTTTTATAAGCCAAATATATGTTTCACTAATTCATGGTTTTGTACCAGGTATATTTTCAAAGAATGGTAAATTGCCGAAATTTCTGAAAAAGAACAACTTTTGACGAGTGCAGGTATCAAATTCAGAACCCGCAGCTTATTAAAAAGTTTACAAGCGCGATATCGAATCGAGAAGCGCTCAATTTTGCGTTTAAAAAATGGTTCGAACAGAAGGCTGCTATCAGAACTTCTAGTAGCTGTTTTTGCATTTTGAAAAACAAATAAATCATTCAGAAAGCTATCATTATGAACACCAATAACTGATTTAAAAACAAATTTTAATAGCCCATAGAGATGATACTCATAAACGGTTAACAAACTATATTTTTCAAAAATATCATTACTACGATCTCGACGTTTTCTGAAAAAAATGAATTTGAGGATTTTCTTTTGTAAAACATTAAGTTGTTCCAGCTGCGAATAGCTGCAACATCCAAAAATTAAAATGCCATACTGGAGAATGGGAACGACATTGTTACTGTAGTATTCGATCATTTGAGACCTCGGCGCGTAGTGCCGTAGCTTTGAAACTATACCGCATTGTTTACTAAGTTTCTTTTTGACGAAATCGATATGACTTGTAAAAAAAAATTTGGAGTCTATGTAAATGCCTAAATATTTACAAACAAGTTTCGTATTTATCGAGCAAGAGTTTAACTAAAATAAATGATTGGAAGCACTTAACTTTACATTCATTTGAACTGTTTTGGATAGGTTAATCACCAATTTATTTGCATGTAGCCAGTTATTTAAAGACGTCATGTCTTTTTGAACGTCAATTATTTGACAACCTATTGATGTTAGATTCGTATCGTCTGCGAATAGCAAAATTTCCGATGTTTCGCATGCTTTAGGGAGGTCATTTATATATAATAGAAAAAGCAAGGGACCTAAAATTGAGCCTTGTGGTACACCACATTCTATTTTACTCCAGCTAGATGAAACACCATTTACTACAACTCGCTGTATGCGATTACTGAGATATGAGCTCAACCATTTTAAACAGTTACCCCTAAACCCATACATATCCAATTTGTATAGCAAGATATTATGGTCAATAGTGTCGAAAGCTTTCTTCAAGTCAAGGAAAAAACTAAAAATTTCATTCGAAGAAGGATACATTCTAATTCTTTCGGTAAGTTCAGCAAGTGCATCAATTGTGCTATGCTTATTACGAAAACCAAATTGTTTTGCATAAAAGAGAAAAAAATTCTCTAAATAAGAATAAATACGGTTATACATAACGGGCTCATAGATTTTACTCCAAACAATTAAAAGTGAAATTGGTCTATAATTGTTCTCATCAAGTTTTGATCCATCTTTATGAAGCGGCAGTACTTTCGCTTTACAAAGTTCTTTAGGAAACACGCCTTTTGTGAATGATAAGTTGATTAAGAAGCTTAGATATGGTGCCACGACTTTCGCTGAAGTTTTCACAATAAGGTTACTGATGTTATCATCACCGGACGAGCTTTTATTATCTAGGTAATTTAGGACTTTAAAAACTTCTGTTTCGCAGGTTTTTTTCAGAAGCATGGATTATGGAACATATTCAACGTTAAACCTATCAACTTTAGGAACATCAATTTGAAGTCCTTTTCCAACTGTGGTGAAAAAATAGTTAAATTTATGAGCAACATCTCTGTCTGCTGCATTATCGTTTTCATCAAGGCATGATTGCAATGGAGGAATCTTGCTGTTTTTGTTACTTTTACCACTGATATCGTTTAAAATTTTATATGTCTGCCTTGAGTCTCCTATACAGTTTTTGAATTTATTCCAATAGTAATTCTTTTTAGATAATTTTATATCTTTCTCAAAACGATCTCTTAAACTTCTGAACGTTTGAAGCAGTTGATTATTATTCTGATTCAACTTCCATTTTTTGTGTGCATTATTTCGCTTTGTTCTAAGGTTTTTAAGTTTATTTGTGTACCAGGGGGGTTGCTTTGTGACCAAATTTTTCTTGGTTTTTAATGGTGCAAACATATTCAATACCTCTTCGAAAGATTTTGCGAACAAATTGAAAGCTGCATCTGCATCTTCATTTCAAAAATTACTATTTTATGTGAAGCCAATTTACTTTCCGCAATTTTTAAAAATTCTTCAACTTGGCTCCGACTTTTTAGGAATGATGTATCGCGAAACGGAATTTCATTATTAACAATTTGACACTTTATGACCCATTCCAAGTGTATTGGATAATGATCTGATAAATGTTCACTATTTAGTACCATTGAATGAGGTTCAGTTAAATTGTCGAAAATGAAATGATCCAAACAAGTTGAGAGGTGGCTGTAACGCGAGTTGGTTCACGACCGTTTATCGAAAAACCATTTGAATGAATACAATTTAAATAATTTTGGCTCAGTAAGTTATCAGGTATTATATCAATGTTAAGATCACCACAAAGAATGAACGGATGATTTGCAATTTTTGAATTTTCCACACACTCATCAAGCCTATCAATGAATTGCATCTTGTTTGATTTTGGTGGGTTATAAATCACACATAATGAGAATTTATAGCCATTTTTTAAGATATCAACCGTTAAGCTTTCTTCTGAAAATGAATCAAATTGATTCAGCAAGCAGCATGTGTTTCTTGCTTGGATCATTACACCACCAACTGGTGTTTCGCAATTTTTTGTAAAATACTGATTATAACCATTGATTAACCAGCTTTCACTTGGATCATTTTTTGTTAACCAAGTTTCCGTTATACAAATTATATCAGGTGGAGACTCAAGGCTTAGAATAAGTGCTTCCAATTTGTCGAAGTGCGATTTTAAAGATCTTAATTTAAATGTAACACCGAAACTTTGGAATTTTCAGTTTTATTAATTAAAGTGCTGTTATTCTGTGAAATATTTGGTTTTGAATTAACGACTTTAGCATCACTAGATTGTTTACGATCCCCCTTTATCTCCTGCCTCGTGGAAAACACTTTGGAAGCAATTCATCACATCTTGAAATCTGTATTTCAAGGAACTCCCGCCTTCATAAAGTCCATCGATACGATATAGTCGCTCGTCTGTCTTCCATATATAATGGATTACACCTTCTCGGGTCCACGCAGATTTAATTCGGCAATCACTCTTCATCATTTTTATGAAATTGACACGAGCCTTTGATAAGTCTTCAAAGACGCTTATATTTTTCAAACCTTCTTTATCTGCCATCTTTTTTTTGTTTCGTAGCAAGTTGATTTTGGCGATTCTTCTGGCGAAACGAACGATAATTGGTTTGCCTCTATTTGAACGAGATGGCAATCGATGAGCTATTGAGAT